TCCACCTTACTGTGTATTTGTCATTTGTTTTCCAGGAATTCTGTATTTCTGCCCCATCTTTCAAATAAAAATTATTTTCTTTTAATAGCAAGACTCACTGCTTTTTCAGAAAGTAAAATACTTTGAGGCGGAAAATACTTTTAAAACCAGAAAATACAGTTTAAAAAACCCCGATTCGTCGTGACGTTGTAGATGAGAAGCTGAAGTCTCTAACCTCTAAATAAATACGTCTCACTGACAAAAATATTCGGTTTGGGCAAATCACACGGAAAGAGGAAAAAAACACAACCAAAAAACTCATTAGGGAGAGTTTCTGCCGAACGCACAAGAAACAAAAAAAGGAGGCCTTGAGAGGCGGAGGAAAAGAAGAGTTTGCCCGACCTGTCACTGGTTCTGGGGACTAAAGGAAACGTTGACAGCTTTGAAGCCGCCCGGCGACGGGCGGGAAAGAGCAGCGCGGGGAGTTTCCGGGCCCCGGTTCGCCTTTGTCCCCGCCGGCAGGTGCGGCCCGGCTGCTGGGCCTGTCCCGAGGCCCGCCGCCGTGCCCCGCCCCGCGCCCAGCCCGACCAGCGCGTCCGCACCGCGGGGCGGGGCCTCCGCCGCGGCTCCAGCCCGCCCGGGCCGACACAAAGGCCCGGCAGCTGGCCGAGGGGGAGCGGCCCCGCCCGCCCCGGGCCCGGCCTTACCCCGCCGCTCCGCCGCCTGCAGCCCCGGCCGCGGTCCCCGACCGCCGCGCCCCGCCCCGTGGCCGCCACGGCTGCTATTGCTCCTCTAGCCGCGGCCGCTGCCGTCGCTCCGGCACCCGCCGCCCTTACCGCCCTCACCCCTCCCAGTGCTGCCGTAAATCCAACCCGAGGCCGCCAAGCGATCCCGACTCTGCGCGACAGGGTGTGCGCGCGCACGCGGCGGAGCGCCGACAGGCTTTACGGCAGTAGCTTGAGCGCGAGACCTTGGCCCCCGCCGCTTCAGTTCGCACGTGGCGTCCGAGAAGGCAAGGTGGATCTGAGACCCCTTCTGCTTCTGAGTGTCCGCTGCCAGCATGAAGCGGCCGAGTGAGTCGGGTCGGGAGGTGGGCGTAGTCCGCGAACCGAGCAGGTCGTTCTTTCTGGCGGTAGGCAGAGGGCTCCCGCAGGCCGTGGCTCTGTTTCCCCCCAGAACTGAGTGAGGGTTGGAAGGCCCAGGACCGACTTCGGCCATGTTCACCAGGGCCTGTTCTGTAGAAGGAAAGCTGGGCCCCTTAGGTGAAGACTAACCCAGATTTATGTCGTTAACGTGTCTGAGCCTGTTTTCGGGCCCGGCGATTTCCTTTCGTATAAGAACTATTCAAAGCCGGGCGGTGATGGCGCACGCCTTTAGCCCCAGCACTCGAGAGGCAGAGGCAGGCGGATCTCTGAGTTAGAGACCAGCCTGGTATACAATGTGCGAATTCCAGGACAGGCTCCAAAGCTACACAGAGAAACCCTGTCTCAAAAAATCTATTCAAAACCAGTCCGTCGGCCTTGGTGGCACGTGGCAATAATCCTGTACACGTAAGGATAACGCAGGAGGATCGAAAGTTTGCAGCCAACCTGGATTATGTACTGAAACCCTGGCGCAAAAGTTCATAAAAGGAAACCCCTTACTTTCCTTGAGATTTGTAGTGCTTTCCTCTAGAAGCTGGTTTCACTCTCGATCTACTGGGTCAAATTGACTGGGATTTGAAAGTGGAGCATGTACTATTAATAAACACCCGGCATAATTTTGCAGGAAAGGTTGAGGCAAGGTTTGTGTAGCCCAGAATAGCCTTAGATTCCCGATCCTCTTGGTCTCAGCCTCCAAAGTGCTGTGTTGATAGGCATGTGCCATCTTCCAACCCCTCTCACCCCCATGAGTCTTATATCACTTGGTGGTTGACTTACCACAAGAAAAATACATCAAAACATTGTGGTCATCAAAAACTAAGTACAAGACCTGAAATTTTCAATATATTTTTGAGAGTCCACTGGCCTTATAAAATAGTGTCCTGAGAGCCAGGGATATGGCTAAGCTCATAAAGGCACTTGCCACCAAGCCTGAACTTACTTCTCAGACCAAACATAAAATAAGTAAATGAAACATGACTTTTTAGTGGGTGGAGTGGAGAGGTGGCTTAGCATTTAAGAGCACTGGATGCTCTTCCATAAGACCAAGACCAGGGTTTGAGTCCCAGCACCCACATGTCAGCTCACTGCTTTCCATGGAGAAATGAAGCCCTCTAGTGGCTTCCTCCGAGAGAGCACTGCATACATGTGGTTGTTGCCCTGAGAAGAGCTGGCAAAACATCCATACATGTAATTTTTAGAAAGTAATAACAAAACTAGGTTTACTGCTCAGGTATACAGTCTTTTGTTTGTTTGTTTTTGGCAGAATTAAAGAAAGCAAGCAAACGTATGACTTGCCATAAGCGGTATAAAATCCAAAAGAAGGTGAGTGTTCCTGAGAGACCTATACCAAATGGATTGCCAAACTGATTTTTTTCATCCTCTCTCCTCCATGGGGAAGGCTCTATTAATGATTTAGGGATTGGATGTGGATATAAGCTCTTAAACATCAAGAATGTAGCTGTGGGAAGGTGCAGGGTGAGAGAAAGCCGAAACTGCTCACTGTGACAGAATCATTACAAAGAGCTGCTTAGTGATTTTTCTGTTTTATGCATACATGTTCTCTGCATAATTCCACTTGAAGTTCCATTTTTCTAGGGTGCTTCACATGCATTATAAATTATGTCTTAAGATTGGCTTATTGCCTAAATCCTAAGTGGTGAAGTGTTTTTGTAGGGTGAACCTATGGCCCTCATGAATGCTAGGCAAGCACCCTCTTCCGACCTTCTTACAGTGTTTTTAATAGGTCCGAGAACATCATCGAAAATTAAGAAAGGAAGCCAAAAAACGGGGTCACAAGAAGCCTAGGAAGGACCCTGGGATTCCAAATAGTGCTCCCTTTAAAGAAGCTCTTCTTCGTGAAGCTGAGCTAAGGAAGCAACAGGTAAATTTTGCAAGCTGGAGCTTGCAGTAGAATATGGTTTCCAGAGTAAACTAACAACATGGGTCTCTAGCTCATTCATTTCTTTTATGGCTCTGACACAGCTTGAAGAACTAAAGCAGCAGCAGAAACTTGATAGGCAAAAAGAACAAGGAAAGAAAAGAAAACTTGAAGTTGACCCTGGTGATGAACAGTCTAATGTGGAACCTCAGCAGGTAGGGTTATCTGTCCTTAAAAATGAGCTGTGCTCTGAAGCAGAAATAAAATTAAAGAAGTGAAAGATTAATAAGAAGATGTAGATTGTCTCCTATTTAAAATACCAAATATATTGCCTGTAGAAATTTTAATATTACTGGTAACAACCGCTGTTTCTGATTTTATCATCTTTTCCCCTAATTTTTATATCTTAGAAATCTGAAGAACCCAAAACCAAGAAAGCTAAATCGGGCAAACAGAATCCAAAGAAGTTGCATTGTCAGGAACTTAAAAAGGTATCTTAGTATAGGTCAGTGTCAGAAATGGTAATGAGACTTTGTAAACTTGAGAGCTCCTTTGTAAAGTGGGAATCCATAGAAATTGTTGCAGTCAAAGTCAAGAGGGTGGGTAGTGGATTCTTAGTGCATTTGCTTCCTAGCACTGCCAACCCTGATATTCATTTCCCAGGCTCAGTCTTCTCTGTTACCAGAACTGGCTAAGCCTTCTCAGTCAGTACTTCTAAGAAGGCCTGTTAAACTACATGTGCATTATGGCTCGATCGTGTGTTCTGACATGATGAAGTTGTTTCCACTTTGGAGACCCATGTTTTATTAGGTTATCTGACTTTGTTGTGTAGGAAATATTGCTAGCATTCTTCATATAAAAATGAAGGCATGGAGCTCCTGTCTTCTGGACTCATGGCCACATTGAGGGTGTTGCTCAACAAGGAATGCTGTTGTGATGGTTTCTTACTTGACAGGTGATTGAGGCCTCCGATGTTGTGTTGGAGGTTTTGGATGCCAGAGATCCTCTTGGTTGCAGGTGTCCTCAAGTAGAAGAAGCTGTTGTCCAAAGTGGACATAAAAAGCTGGTACTTGTATTAAATAAATCAGGTGAGTAGAAAGAATCCCCTTTGTCTCATGTGTGCACTTGTGAGGTATGAGGAAAATATCTGAACAGTCTGATTCTCCCTGAAGACTGATAAGATCCAACTCTGACCTCAACAGAACCAATACATGTGCACTGTGGTAGCCAGGGACGTGGGGAGGAGGTAGTTTCTGCAGGTGATTCCACTGGATTTTCCTGCTCTGCTTGCTATTCAGCACTTAGTCTCCCTTGGCTATGTGTCTGGGTGGGCTTGAGCAGCACAAAGAAGAGAACTCAGAAGAGAGACATTAAGGAATTGCCAGCAGTGGTTTTTAAGCTTCAACAGATATTGGGGGGGATATATTTTATAGAAAACTAATACAAAAGTGATTTAAAATCTGGTGCCTCTTAGGTGAAGGAAAATTCTGGAAACGTGTGCATAGGTTGACCTACTGCTTAGATTGAGTGAGCAGTACTGGAGATACTGAGATTCAAAAGTAGCTCGGTGGGTATGATGCTTGCCTGGTACTCAAGATGGTTTGCTGCTTAGCACCACATAAAAGCAAGCATGGTAGTGTTTCTGTGATCCACCACTGAGGGGATAAAGGGAAGTTCCAAATTTCAAGGTCATTCTCAACTACATAGTGGGTTGAAGGCCTATCTGGAATACATGGGTTGAAAGATTGGGGAAATGCAAATGAATACAGTCAACAGTTTACCACATTTAATAAATTAGGCTTAAAAACCGCCAAACTGAAGCATGTCTTTTCCCGATTCTTGCCAGATCTAGTACCAAAAGAGAATTTGGAGAACTGGCTAAATTATTTGAATAAAGAATTGCCAACAGTGGTGTTCAAAGCCTCGACAAACCTGAAGAGCAGAGGGAAGACACTCAAGGTACACTGTTAGTGTTGGGAAATGTGGTTTCCTCGGGTTTGTGATGATTGAAATATGATGAGTATGCAAAATGTTGATTAAGATGAAAAACAATAAGATCCAACTCTGATTTCATCAAAAGATCATCTGAAAGGCAGTAGAGCCCAGTGGGTTATCTAAGAGCTGGACTCTGGTGCCAGACTTACTCTATTCCACCCAATGGTACTTGCCAGAGTTAATTAAAACTACTCTATTTTGGATTTTTTAATGTCTAAAGGTAAAGAAGAAGAAGAATGTTCCATTCCAAAGTAAAGTCTGCTGTGGCAAGGAAGCCCTTTGTAAGCTTCTTGGAAGTTTTCAGCAGTCATGTGGAAAAGCTATTCAGGTTGGAGTAATTGGTGAGTTTCATTCAGCACATTTAAGTCTAAAGATACTTAGCCAAGGACATCACATTGTGGAGTGTGAACAGGTTAATTACTAAAGAAAGGGTTTGTTCTCAAATGTTAATTCTGACTTAACTCACCAAAACACTGAAAAAAAAAAAATACCTACCAGCTTCAGAAGTTGGCATCTGAGAGAACACTGAACCTGGTACGGGCAAGGCAACTACCAGAAAATGTGGTTTATAATCTGAGTTTACATTTTTTTGTAGGTTTCCCAAATGTGGGGAAAAGCAGCATCATTAATAGCTTAAAACATGAACGGATCTGTAATGTTGGCGTTCCCATGGGACTTACAAGGTAAATAAGACTTATTAGAAAGACATCAGTCAAAGAAAGATAGGTTGTGCTGAGCTAGGAAGGTTGATTGGAAAGGCCCAGCTACCTGCAGTTGAGTTTGAAAGGTTGAGGAAAGCTGCCTCAAAGAAGGTAATTGGACCTGGTCCGGGAAGATAAGGAAATAACTGAAGTTTGGATATGTTGCACTGTAACATACAGTGCTTGTTTTAGAGGGACTCTGTTACGGTTTCACATAAACATGAAGCAGTGATGACAAATTGGATCTGACTGCTGTGCTGAGTTTGTTCAATCCAACCCTGAGCTTCATGTTGTCTTGCCCTTAGACAGACCAGTGTCCCTCTTAATTCCATCTCCCTCTCTTTTTTTCTTTCAGGAGCATGCAGACTGTCCCTTTGGACAAGCAGATCACAGTCATAGATAGTCCGTGCTTCATTATCTCACCCTCGAACTCCTCTGCTGCACTTGCTCTACGGAGTCCAGCAAGCATTGAAGTCCTAAGACCACTAGAGGCTGCCAGTGCCATTCTGTCCCAGGCTGATAGTCAGCAGGTAAAAGAATTCCCCTGGAGCTCCTTACCACTGTTCTTTCTTTATCTACACAGATGAATGACAGTTCGTGTTCTGTTTTTAAGGTGGTATTAAAATACACTGTCCCGGGGTATAAGGATGCTCTGGATTTTTTCACTAAACTTGCTCAGAGAAGAGGTCTGCACCAAAAAGGTGGAAGCCCAAATGTTGAAAGTGCTGCTAAACTGTTATGGTCTGAGTGGACAGGGTAAGGTGAATTTGAAGTATTGGCATTGAAGACAACGTAGAATGATAGGGGATTCAGCTGTGTTTGACAGATCTTATTTTTAATGCCAGTGCCTCATTAGGTTACTACTGCCATCCTCCTACACCCTGGAGTCGTTCTCCACATCTCAGTGAGATTACTGCAGCAAACATGAAGAAGGGCTTTGATCTGGAAGAACTAGAAACCGATAATGCACACAGCATGCAAGGTGAAATTGTTTTCCTTTGTATTGATGAGTATAACGCTGACAGTGCCGCAAGTCTTAGCTGTTAACCTGAGTTTTATTCCTCCTGTAGTCCTCAAGGGCCCTCATCTAACTAATAGAATCCTCTTCCGGTCCTCGGGCCTGACAAATGCAATAATAGAAGAAGCAGACATACCCGAAGAATTGCCAAGACAGAAAGAACACAAACAGGATGGTGAAGATGAAGAAAATGTTGATGGGGAAAACACTGTAAGTGACTTTTCTAGCATTACCGCATGGAAAGAATGAGGAGGGGCCAAAGGTAGAAACTATTGGTGACAGAATTCCTCATTAGGTGTGCCGCCCAAGACTGATCTACCCTACCTCATAGAGTTAATAAGATGTCTTTGGTCCACAGGCAGAGAGCTCAGATGTACCACCTGTAGAAGGAACCAGGGAGATGTTACCTGTGGAAGCAACAGCAAGTGAGTCTGGGACAAAGGACTTTGAGCACAATTGCTTTTATTTTCTTGTATAAAATCTCACTTTTCTTTTTCTCCTATACAGGTAAACCATCTGACAGATCATTTACCTTGGATAAAATGAGTGAAGAGGATGATGATGCCTATGACTTTAAAACAGATTATGTATAACTGCTACAGATGTTAGATGTGTGCAGTGTCCCAGATTGATAGGACACAAACTGTAAATCTTGTGAATATGTATTATGTTATGTACATTAAAAACTACAAAGCATTTGTGTCAGGCGTGGTGGCACACACCTTTAATCCCGGCCCTCAGGAGGCAGAGGCAGGAGGATCTCTGCCTTAGTGGCCAGCTGGTCTACAGAGTGAGTCCCAGGACAGCTAGGGCTACACAGAGAAACCCTGTCTCAAAAAAAAAAGTGAGTGGGTAGGTGGTCTGTATGCCATAGGGTGGAGGCTCTAGAGTAATACTGTTGTGACCTGAATTGCTGGAAATTGAACTCTGGGAGAACAGCAGTTGTTTACATTCTTAGAATATGGGGGAAGCTAAGAGAGACGCATGGACCTCCCTGGGAAGAGGAAATAGATAAAATGTCCTGGGTAAACTGGGGTGGGAATGGGTGGAAAATGGGAACATGAGGGATCAGGATGGTCGAGTTGGGGGTGGAACAGAGGAAAAGAGTAATAAAAGAAATACCATGTTAGAGGGGCCCCCTAACACTCCTAACAATAGAGGAGAGGGTGCCCGAACTGGCCTTCCCCTGTAATCAAGATTGGTGACTACCCTAACCCAAACCTTTATCCAGTAACTGATGGAAGCAGATGCAGAGATCCACAGCCAAGCACTGGGCTGAGCTCTGGGAGTCCAGTTGAAGAGGGTAGAGGGATTCTATGAGCAAGGGGCATCAAGATCATAACAGGAAAACCAGAGACAGCTGACCTGAGCTTGTGGGCTCTGGATGGACAACTAGGGACCAACCTAGGCCCCCTTCATCAGGGTGACAGCTATGTAGCTTGATCTTTTGTGAGTCCCCTAGCAGTGAGACCAGGACCTGTCCCTGATGCACTATTCAATATGGTGGGATGCCTTGATGTAGCAGGGAGGAACTTGGTCCTGCTGCAACTTGATATGCCATGCTCTGTGGATTCCCAAGGAAGACCTTACCCAGAGGGAAGAGTGGAAAGGGGGTAGGGGGAGAAACTAGATATGTAAAATTAAAAAAAACAAGCTGCCCTTGTCAGGAGACTGGGTGCTAATATGGAAAGATTTATAAAATGTTTACCCTTTTCTGCTTTTCAATCTTTGGAATTATGAGGCTATATTAGTTATTTTAAAAATTAAAAAAAAATTTAAAATGTGAAAAAAAAATATGGGGGAGAAAATGAGTTCTGTGGAAGCAAAGAGATTTATTGGAAAATGTAGATTTTATTTACAAACTGGACCACAGGTTACAAAATTAAAACCAAGCTGCAGTTCCTAACTACAGCAGTTAGCCGAGTGCTGGTTTTATCAGTCTGTCCTTCAGGTCAGTCAGCAATATAGTAAGCAAACATTTGGTAAGGCAGATGGAGATATTTGTAGTCATCTGGGAAGCTGACTGCCACAGAAGCAATTTGTGATCTCCGCCAGCTGAAACATCCCCTTTTCTGTGAGTTGCTACAGAGGGACTCAAGCCTAACACTGTTAACTTCCCACGTGTTGTGTCTTCCAGGATTTCCTGAGTGATGCATTTAGCTTAAATTGTAGTTCACTTTATGTTTGAGGTATCCATATGTCTTCGGATTAAACTAAATTTGCCTGTTGGGTCTGGAATATACCATTTTTCCCAAACATCAGCGTATGAAGCAGCTCTTCCCCAAGGCTTGAAGTGACCGTTCCAGTGAAGTAACTTGGCAGCCTTTACAAACTGGGGTGAATACCGTTTTCCAGCACTAGAGCCTTAAAGAGAGGAAAAGTTCCAAGTGATTGTACTAGTAAGACAGAGCAATGCTGTGCTACGCTGCAGAAACCATAAGAGAAACACTGGGTACAGCTCATCCCTAAAGAGGAGTTCTTAGATACCAATTTCTAATTAGCTTAAATCAGCCGCTACTTTTTCTTTGTTTTGATGTAGAGTCTGCTATGTGGCTCTGGCTGACCTCAAATCAAGGTAGTACTGCTGCTGCCTTAGCATTCCCAAGTGCTGGGATTACCAGCATAAACCACCATACCCAGCCTGACGAACTCTTGACTTACCAAGGTGGCGCACATTCCACATGGGGTCAATGGTGGAATGCTGTTGATAAAATACAATAAGCAGAGGAGGTGTGGTGATGCTGCCAGCCAGTGTTCTACTGTACAGTCCCTCCCTTGGTAAAACATAAAGAACCTTAGTGAACAGTACTGACCAACTTCTATTAGGAAAGACTGTTTAAATAGCTGAATGAATTACATACTTACTCTACATTAAGTTTCATCCATTTCTCTAGCTGGTTAGTTACATTCTGTCTTTTCCATTCAGTCAAGTTTGCAACAAAAACTCCAGGATTAAAGGAGCAGGTGCTGGCTTTCATGGAAAGCTTACGAATTCTTTCCTTTTTATAGTCAAGATAGCCAATATAATTGTACTAAAAACACAAATGAGATATTTGCTGCTTCAAACAAAATTTTTTTTTATAGCAAAAAAAGTCAGTAGTCGGACAAAGGAGACTTCTCAAGTTATTAGCAAAAGTGACATAGGTCTGACAGAAACACAGTTGGGATCTAAAATTTGTCTTAGTAAGTAGAATATCTGAGGAGAATTGGTTGTAAAGTCCATATATGAATCCACAGAAAAGTAGGCATGCGATTTGGAGTGAAGTAACTGCTTAATGTAAGAATGAGCCCTGCCTTCACCACTTCAAGCTTTCATAGCGAACAAGGTTTGTAGTAAGTGATTTACCTGGTTCCCTGCCCCCCGGATGATCACTTTCGAAGAGGTTGAATCACAATCTTCTGAAAATGCAGCGGCATGTCCTGGCTTCAGTGGTGTGTTGTACAAGGTAAGAATATCACCTGAAATGGATGAAGGGAAATGAACAATTGCTGTTGAGATTCTGTTCCTTCCACTTTTTCCCCCTATTTTCAAGACAGGGTTTCTCTGTGTAGTCCCGGCTGGCCTGGAACTTATTCTGTAGACCAGGCTGGCCACGAACTCACAGAGATCCACCTGCCTCTGCCTTCTGAGTGCTAGGATTAAAGGCATGTGCCACCACAGGCCTGCAATCTGTTCCTCCCACTTCTAATGGTGGCCTTTTGTGGTAGATTATCATAGGACAGCCCAGAATCCAGATGAAAAAAAGAACTCATTCTTTGGTACCTTGTACAATTACGTCATCATCCATGTATATGGCCTTCTTTGCACTGGGAACCAGAACTGGCAAGTAGAACCTTGCAAAGGTTAACTGAAAAGGGAAAAGCATCAGCCAGGAGATAGGAGCTCGGCTCTTACTTGTAGACGCTATTAGAGCGTTCTCAGAACCCTTATAAAAGAGGCGATGGACTCTTGGAGCTGCCCCCCCAGGTCTGGTCCCTAGGGAACTACTTGCATGTACTCAGAGTTATCCAAGTATTTTAATCAAATACTCCCCAATAGAAACAAAGACACATGGAACTCACTGGTTTCATGGACTCCCCCTGGTCAGGATCCTCCTTTACTTTCCCTTCCAAAAGTTTAGTGTCAAAATTTACAATTTTGTACCTGATGCTTTTCAGGGAAACACTGTTAAGCCAGGACCTGACAAAGAAAAAACACATTTCAGTCTTAAACAGTTATGTTTCTAAAGCAGAGCCTTATCTCTGTATGCTTTTCTTACAGTGGCATAACACAATGTAAGAGAAATCCAAGGCACGAAACACATGTTTCAAGTTCTTTATCACTCTAATACTAGGGGTTCCTCACCCGAGATGAAGGCATTCCCACCAAAGTTCCTTCTCAACCAAGAATCTCTGAGTCTCTTCTCCCAAAGCTTTACTGTACAAACTCTAGACTTGAGAATACCCCACCAAAACATGGACTTGATTTCTTTTCTTGAGGTACTATCTTACTACATTGCCCAGGGTGACCTTGAATTCACTATTCTCCCTCAGCCACCCCAACGCTGAGATTACAAGGGTGCACCACCACGCCCAGCTGGGCCATGGACTGTTTGGCCTTCTAAAAAATGAGTCCAATCATACTGGCAGTAAAAGCTAGTTATCAATAAAACTAGTATTCAATGTCAGCTACAGAATGATTATTAACTGTGATGAACCTAAGAAATTCACCCACCTGACTCTGTAAGAACAGCCCATGTTACTTGCAGAAGTACTATACATCTTTTCTAGTTCATTCCAAACCTGCAGTATGTTTCTATATCCCAGATGGGTTCTGAGTTTTTCAAGAATGAAAACATAATTTTCATGAATGTGAATCATGGAGAAAGCCTTAAGGACAGAAATACTCAGAACTCTGACAGACTCAGACAAACTGCTTTTTAGATTAAGTTTTGTAGATTTCTGTTTTTAATTTTTGTTGTTGTTGTTGTTTGGTTGTTTGTTTTTCGAGACAGGGTTTCTCTGTGTAGTTTTGGTGCCTTTCCTGGAACTCACTCTGTAGATCAGGCTGGCCTCAAATTCACAGAGATCCACCTGGCTCTACCTCCGAGTGCTGGGATTAAAGGCGTGCACCACCACCGCCCGTCAGTTTTTAATTGTTTTAAGGCAGTCTCATACACCCCAGCCTGTCCTTAAACTCACTTTGTAGTCAAGGATGCCCTCAGAACTTCTGATTCTCCTGCTTTTACCTCCTGAGTGCTGGGATGACCGGCATGAGCCACCATACCCAGTTTCTGTGGTGCTGGGAATTGAACCCAGTGCTTTGTGCATGCATATCTGTAAGAAGCTAGGACTCATAAATCAATGTATTACTTCCCTTATTCAGAAGTCAGGTTGTCAAACATTAGACCTATTACTAAAAGAACTGTGGAATTAATAGTGTGACTATGACATCTAGTTTAGTTCCTGACATAAATTATCATTTCTCTTGCCACAGAAACATGACACAATCACGTGAAAAACTATCTGTACTGTGTGTGTGGTAAAACAGGACGATATCATACTATGCTGTACAATAGTTCCTGGCTTAGCTGTGGGCTGGTGAAGAGCTCCAGGTAGAGGCAGAATCATTAGGAAAGCAGTGCTCACCGGAGATGGTCTGCTGTACTGTTGAGTGTAACAATGTAAAAAATCACATTGGAGCGAGTGTTATGATGAATGCTATTTATGGCTGCAATGGTCCCACCCAGCCTGTCTTCAGAGGCAGCAATGACCACAGGAATCTCCTCTTGTCTCCCATGTACTGGATGTTGACGAACATCCGCGACGAGGTCTACGGGCTGAAGCCCCAGAATTCCCGAATCTGAAAAGATCACACACAAGGAAAGCACCAGAACACAAACAACCTCATGATTTTTTGTTCTGGTTTGGTTTGGGTTTTGTTTCTTTTGTTCTTTGAAACAGAGTTTCACTATGTAGTCCTGGCTGGCCTGGATCATGCTATGTAGACCGGGCTGACCTCAAACTCAAGAGATCTCCCCGTGCTGAAAGTGAAGGTGTTTACATAAAAATGTAAACATGCCCAGCAAGTTTTTTATTTTTTTATGTTTTGGTTTTTTGAGACAGGGTTTCTCTATGTAGACTTGGCTGTCCTGGAACTCACTCTGTAGACCAGGCTGGCCTTGAACTCACAGAGATCCACTGTGATGCCTCTGCCTCCTGAGTACTGGGATTAAAGGCATGTGCCGCTACCACCCGGCTGCCCAGCAAGTTACAGAGTCCAATACATGGAAGGAGGTAACATGAGAATTACAGTAGCAATTTACTTATTCTTGCCCATTAACTTTGAAGCATACAATAGAATATTGTGTTTTCATATATGTAACCACTTGGAAAGAAGTGGGAGAATTTTAAAAAATAACCTGGCAACAACACTCTCGGTACACCATTAGTAGGGAAGTTACAGAACCTTTCTGAAGTGTGTTCTGGCGGTTTATCAGAGGCCTTAAAGGGTATATGACCTCTGTCTAATTGTTCTTTCTTAAGGACAATATCTAAAACAGAGAAGAGTCAAATTTTTAGGCTGAGGATTTAGCTCAGCAGTAAGGGTATAAGTTCCGCATGTATAAGGCCCCGGGTTCAACTCAAGCACACCAAAACAAGCCACCCTTTTATTTATACTTATAAAAACCTAGAGAGAGTTTTTCAAACCACAAATCATATGGAGACATAAAAATCAATGTAACGGATCATGATCAGAATTTACTCTCCTGAGCTGGGGATGAACCTTGGCTCTAGCATGTGTTAAGCAAGCTCTCTACTGCTAAACTATATCCCTAGGCCTATGATTTGAGTTTAAACAGGAAAAACTTTGGATTGGGATAGAAAAATAAATTTAAAACGAGAGTTCAATACAAAATAACTGCAGTATTACTCTGTAAACCGTCCTTGCCTTTTATGATACAGTGGGACCTCCATATTTATGATTTCCATATCTGCTGATTTAATCAACCACAGGTGGAAAACATCAGAAAGCAATTACTGTGCTAAATATGTAGAACTTTTTTTTTTTTTTTTTTTTTTTTTGGTTTTTTGAGACAGGGTTTCTCTGTGTAGCTTTGCGCCTGTCCTGGAACTCACTTGGTAGCCCAGGCTGGCCTCGAACTCACAGAGATCCGCCTGGCTCTGCCTCCCGAGTGCTGGGATTAAAGGCGTGCGCCACCACCGCCCGGCGAACTTTGATTTTTATCATTAGTACCTAAATAGTACAATATAACATGGACTTATACTATACAAGATATATGTAATCTAGAGATACTTTATAGTACATAGTAAGATATATGCAAGTTTTTTGTAATTTTATGCAAAAGGTACAAGTATCTGAAGATTTGGGTAGATAATGTCTAGTCCTAGAGTTACAACCATGAATAAAGCATGTGAATTTTAACCAGACAGATATCTATGCCTATGTATGTGCTGCACGTAATGCAGTTCTTACTGTGGGATTAGCATCAAAATCTGAAAGTTTAAAAAAAAAAAAAAAAAAGAAAATGTATCTTCTTACGGATACAAATAAATTTAACAACATTAAAATTACATACGCAAATAAAATAAAAGTCTTAATTACATATATGAAGTTTACATTATGCTTATGATAAAAATCACATGGAAAAGTTTATTTTTATCATGTAGTTTAATATAATCTCAAATATATAGAAAAAATACAAAGTGAGAAAAGAAGATACCAGGTCAAAATTTTTATAGTAGGTTCTCTGATCAATGAAATAACTTATTCAACTAGTTCTAATTAAATAATTCCATTTCTGTCTCCAAGTGCTGGGCTTATAGATATGAGCTAACTCTGGCTTTATTTCCTTTTTAAGAAAGAGTCTTATGTAGCTCAGGCTGACCTCAACTTGGTACATAACCAAAGATGGCTTGAACTGCCCCCCCCAATACCCCCGTCAATGTTACTTATTATTGTGTGTATGTGTATATGTGATGTGTGGTACACCATGGTGCACACTGCTGGATTGCTACCCACTAGAGTGTGTGTGTATGTATTTTTTAAAATAAAGTCTTGCTATTACCTATACTGTCCTCGAATTCATGATTCTCTTGCCTTGCCTCACTTCCCAATTGCTAGGATTTTGGGGATGTGTCATCACATCTAGCCTCAAAAAACGATCTTTGAAAACAAGGACATTATGGTTCACACCTGTAATCCCATCACTACAGAGGCTGAGGCAGGAAGATCAGGAATTCAAGAACAGCCTAAACTACATAGTGAGTTTGAAGCCAGTCTAAGCCATAGATCCAGTCTCAAAACAACAGAAAACAACAAAAAGATATCTGCAAACACCCTGAAGCCTCAGATATCCCTCATTACCAGGGTAGAATCATATGAACAACTGGACAGTTGTAATGTAATTATACAATAAAATGATTTTTAATCAGCTGACAGACTTTGATTTGTTTTACTACGAAAGTCCCATTGCCGTGATTGCTAAGTTAAAAGAACATCACCACGTTAGCACTGTAGTGACAACAGCAAGCGTCAAGACAACACCAGGTCACACTGCCTGTGCTCATCTTCTAAAGCTCTGACCGCTGGAAGGCAAGCAGGTGGCAGCCCACAGACACGCCTTTGATAGAACGAATATTCTCTCAGATTAAGTCCTTAGCTAAAGACTTCACTACAGAGAGAAGAGCGAGCGGGAGGCACCGTCTGAAACTGATGAGTACCCACTGTGCCTTCTGTTGGGAGTAAACATGGACAAGCTGCCAGATCCAGACCCCGACTTGCCCCATGTTGAACTCCAGCCCCTCCCCCTTCGCTAAATGCTATCCACCTTATCCAGACAGCCTGAGCAAGGCAACTTCTAAAGCTAGAACAGCCTTGTCTGGACAAACTACTCCAGGAAGTCAAACTTGCACACAGTCCTGAATCTGCATTTAACTTCCCACTGCCAAAATCTCTTCTATAAACTCCAAGTATTCCCTTCCTTCTTTTCACAGACACCCCTTCCCCACTGTGTCTGTCCTCTGCTGTTTGAAAGGAACAGTCCTATCTGCTGAGGTCACTGGTCTCTTTTGGCCTTCTGCCCCTTTACACTGTCTCAGAGTCTTTGTAAGTCCAAGAAGCAAGTTTTCTTTAACATAGTGCTGTAAGTTAGAATGTGGGACATGAGGACCCCCAGTGGTACGGAGTTAGTAAAGGTTCCCATACCTGAAACTTCATTCCTTAGCAGACTACTCAAGCTGAGGAAGTTATGGTGCAAAAGCAGTAGGAAGAGAACAGCAGCCAGGACCCAGATGATGATGTTTACTGAAACAGAGGAATCTGCGTTACATCTTTTGGCTTTGGTCTAGGTATAAAAACAATGGAATTTGGAGAGAGAGAGAACGTACCTTTACGGAATGACATCCTTTTCTTCTGTCTTACACAAACATTAGATACTAATCCTGTAAAATACAAGTCCCCAAAGTCAGTTAGTATATGAGAATGGTCATCAAAATACTTAAACACTCTTATTCAGACACTTATTTTTAAATTAATAACTTCCAAGCACCCAACCTGGAGCCTGAAAAAAGATTTTTTAAAGATTTATTTATTTATTATTTATTTATTTATTTAATGTATGTATGAGTGCGCTTTCTGTATGTACACCTTTACGCCAGAAGAGGGCATTGTGAGCCACAATGTAGGTGCCGGGAATTGAACTCAAGACCTCTGGAAAAGCAGACAGTGCTTTTAATCTCTGAGCCATCACTCCAGCCTAGAGCGAAAATTTTATGATGATCATAATACAGTATTTTCATATGATACTTGAGAACACATAGCTTTAGCCAGTTCCCAGGATATTCAACACTTTCTTCTGGCCTCTGCAGGTACTGCATGCACATGGTACACACAGAGAGAAGCAGGAATGTTCGTATACACATAAAAACCTGCTTTTAGGGACAATAAGCCAGGCTGAGGACACGGCTCAGTGGGTAAGAGTGCTTGCTGGGTAAGTACAAGGAGCTGCACGTGTATCTGCAGTTCCCCGTCAAAAGCTGGGCATGGTCACACGCACACTGTGACCTCAGCACTGTGGGAGGGAGGCACAGATAGGAGGCTCCCCGAGGCTTGCTGACCACAGCCGAGCTCCAGATTCAGTAAGCAGAGTGATACAGCAGTACACTGGAGGTCCGCCTCTGGGCTCTGCACACCTGCATGGACAACACACCCAGACAGAACGTCCCCAGATGCATCTCTGCTAACGAAATGACCCAGCAGTGAGAAAGTGAGTCCAATGCTGGCACTCTCTGGGCCCCCTCTGCCCATTCGACACCTTTCCTTTTTCAAAACAATCCAATGGAAATAAGACTGTGGATATGTATTTATGGAATTAAATCAATTAAACACATTTCTACAACAATCTCTTGGAAATAGTTCCTCAAAGATAGATTTTATAAAACCAGAAACTGGGACTCTAGGTTTAAGACCTTTAACCCTTTTGTAAACCTCACCTATAGTAGTATCTAAACATGTAGATAGGGATAGTTACTTTACAAAGCACTTTCAGCCACACCACACTGCTAAGAAAGTTCATCTAAACCGTGTGTACATTGGGCATTTAATTTCCCAAGGTCTTTATAAAAGCAGGGATATCTATTTTAAATCGGACCATGGTCATATTACAAATCAGAGGCAATGTAACTCAGACTTACAAAGAACAATCTAAAACACAGGAACACACTTCTTTTTAGAACAGTATACACAAAACACATTCCACCAATGAACTTCCTCTATAAAAAAAAAAAAAAAATACACATTATAGACTGCCAAGGTGGCTCAGTGAGTAAGTGTGTGTTCGCAGGACAAGTCTGACGACCACAGTTCGATCCCCAGAGACCAGGGAAAGAAATGACCCTGAAAATTGTCCTCCCTCTGACTTCCACGTGCACACCATGGTGCTCTCTCTCTCTCTCTCTCTCTCTCTCTCTCTCTCTCTCTCTCTCTCTCTCTCTCTCACACACACACACACACACACACACACACACACACACACACACACACACACTAAAAAACTTAAAGAACACACATTGTAAGCTGGAAAGAGAGCCCGGTCCATTAAGTGCTTGCTAGGCGAGTCAGGACCCAAGTTAGATCCCCAGAACCTACAAAAAAAACCAGGGTGTGGTAGCAGACTCATATCCCATCACTGAGATGAAGACAGGAGCATCCCTGGTGGACAGCCATCTTGAGGAACACCACCTGAGGATGACCTTTGGCCTCCACATTTTTGTTCTTTTTTTTTTTTTTTTAAATTCTTTTCAAGATTTGTTTATTTATTATGTATACAGTGTTCTGCCTGCATGTATGTCTGCAGGTCAGAAGAGGGCACCAGATCTCATTACAGATGGTTGTGAGCCACCATGTGGTTGCTGGGAATTGAACTCAGGACCTCTGAAGGAGCAGTCAGTGCTCTTAACCTCTGAGCCATCTCTCCAGCCCCCACATTTTTGTTCTTATAAACACACAGGACTGCACACACAAAAAATAAAATACACATTATATACTCTGTTATTTGTCTTTATCACATCATAAGCTGAGTCTTACATACAGAAGCTGGCAAATTCGGAGCTACTCAATAAAGCCCTAACACCTGCCTGCTTTGAGTTAAATTCCACCAAGACTGGATAAAACAATCTCATTCCAAAAAACTCCAGCTAGTTGCTGGTACAATAGGCAATGTTTTATCTCATCAACTTCCATTATGTTAGTTACAGGTAGCACTGTATATGGACTGGAAGTCACATGTATCTGAGCTACTCCAGTTAGCAGAACATAAGATACTTCTAGCAAGTACTGAATGTACTTAAGTAGATACACATGACAGAATGCAATTGATGATAAGTCTTCCAGCTACTTACACAAAAAATACCAGCTATCAGAGTAAATCTGACCAACGTTGTTTCCTGGTAATGAGAGTTCCTTGATCTGTTCAGAAGGAGCTCTCAAAATCTCATACACACTATAGGTATATAATAGTAGTAACATTTTTGTCAGAGCACAATTGTGTACAATTTTCTTCACTATGAAAATTCATGGTGATTTGCTGCAGAAATATAAAACTTTTACGTTCCCAAACCACTTGTATACAAAAAACCTCCTCATAAACACACACACACACACACACACACACACACACACACACACACACACAGAGAGAGAGACAGAGACAGAGACAGAGAAAGAGAAGGAGAGCACCCAGGACAGTTATTACCCATTAATATGAAAGAAATCTTAAGGAAAAAAATTCTTCTGTTTATTGTTGTTTTGGAGACAGGATCTCAACTATACAGCCCAGGCTGACCCTGAATTTTGCTCGTGTATCTATATATGGCATGTGTGAATGCATGTATGTGTGAATGCATATATGAGTGCAAGTGTGTGTGTGTGGGGGGGGGATCAGAGATTGACATCAGGTGACCACACTCCACCTTACAAAGCCTCTCAATTGAACCCCAACTTGCCAGTCTATTTAGTCAGCTTGTTCACAGGCTCTCATCTCCACCTCCCAAGTGCTGGGATCACAGGTGGGTTGCCACACCCACTCTGCATTTACATAGATCCTGGGGACTTGAACTCCGGTCCTCACACCTGTGTGGTAAGCACATTACCCATCTCTCTAGCCAACCTCCATCTCTAAAACAAACAAATAAATATGCTAGCTACCTGTATTTATATTCACAGTCTCAACAACTATGTTTTGATTTCCCCTCCTACTATTGCGGACCACACATATTCACAAGAAGCCGTCCCACGGGGTGCCCTGTGCCCTGTCCCTACAACTGTTCTCACTTAGCATCATAAACTCCTTTCCATTCCTGGTGGAGCACACCCAGTGGCATGCTGGCATGTTCTGGGGCCTTTCCCTTAGTTAAAGGGGGGAGGAGGAGGGAGTGGAGGACAGACAGAACAGCACTCTGCCTCCTTCACACTGAAGGACTGAAAGATCTGAAACACTCTTCTTCCTGCCTTTGCTTCTCTGTTCTTAGATGTCTGTTCCTATGTCAAACCGCTCTTGTGGAGACCACCAACCACTATCATCTTTCTGTCCTCTTCTTAGACCAACAATCTCACTCTTCCCTCTCAGTTATGAAATCATCACATGTATGTATTTGTATCCTATGAATGCAACTTCTGTGGGAACAGGGAACTAAATGACAATGTAACTCTACTGCTGTATCCCTGTCACCTAGACCATCCCCACCAAAGAAACAGGCATGTGGCATTAGTTGACCGGTCTTGCTAATCCAGGAGCATCCGGTTCTCCATTCAAGAAGAGAATGTAATCTTAATAATAATGGACACTCAATTCCAGCATAAGAAAATGGGATTCCAACCGAGCACTAGCTCAAAGGGGACCTGGCAAAACACCATTTCGGTTTTCCATGGTTTTATGGTTCAGACACTTTATGGTCTCTACCGCAACCGCCATCCTATGAAATGCACTGGTAGGGACACAACCCTCAGGGATGAATGGCTATACTTGTAACAGTGAGTCTGCCCATACATACTAAGGAAAACATAGGGAAGGAGAAAGGGGGAAAGACCCATGAAAATTGTTGTTGCCCTACGATGTCCTGGCTCTGAGGTCAGAAGTGCCAAAGGAGTCCGTATTTTTCTGTAGGGTGGCAAAGCGCAAGGAGACCCGGACATTCTCTTCACCCCTTTGCAGGATAGGTCCTACTTGACTGTCATGGTCAGGAAATTTCCCCAAACTCCACGTTGCACCTCCCTGGACTCCATCTTCTGGATGCCTCTCCCTCACAGCTAATTCAACAGCCATATATTTCTGGAATGATGTGGCCATCATCTCCCTTGACACATTCAAGTTCTAAGTCATAGCTGTGCCCGGGTCCATTGGCTGAAAAAAAAAAAAAAGTTGAAAAATTGGTGGCTCCGTGGATGCGGGCAGCAGCAACCTCCCGGCCTACAGTACCTAGCATCTCACTGACTCTCTGCATGCACAGAGGAGTGTCCAGAGAGGCAGATGGCCCCACGGGGCCAGATCCCCAGAACGGGTACCCCATCTAGCTCACTAATGAGGGAAAGCTCTCGCTTTTGAAATATACACCACCCTTGAAAAAGGGGGCTAAGGGAAACTTAGCTGGTCTTTACCAGGAGGACCTGGTCTGGGAGTGTGAGAGCCATGGAAACCGGCAACCAAGTAATTGGGCTGAATTTGGGACCCCCTGGGTGGGAGTATGGTGGCTCCTTCCAGAAGGCGTGGGGCCGCCAGGGCCTCGCGTCTCTTCTCCGAGGCAATCTCCTTTCCCTGGAGGATGTGGCTCGGTTATCTTCCCTAACTCTAGGGGTCATTAATGGCCTCCTTACGCTTAGGAGTGACGGGGAGGTGGTGTGGCACTCCCGGGATCCCGCCACGCACTGACACGCCACGTTAGAGCCGCGTCAGACGAATCGCGGCCCTCGGCAGCTCAACGCGGCCAGCTTCACCTGCACCGGGAGGAGGGGCCGCCGCCCGCCGCCCGCGCCCCGGCCCGCCCCGCCAGCTCAGCGCTCGCACCGCAGGCCCCAGCCCCAGGCCCACCGTCGAGCCGCCCGCGTCCGCCGCACTCCGGCCGTGGCCCCCCGGCCCGCGAGCTCTGCAGCGGCCACGTTGTGCCACAGACCCTAGCCTGACCGTGGCTCCCGCTTCCGGAGAGCCACGCGGCGCAGCAGGCGCCACGGGGCAGCCCGGTTGCCCGGGTCCTCCCTGGGAAAAGGCCGTCGCTATGGAGACGCGGCGCGCGCCGGCGGCCGTTAAGACGGGGAGGCGCCGCCCGCAAGTGATTTCCGCCGCAGTCGCGGCTCCCGGCAGTCGGTAGCACTGACCGGCGTACGATGCTCCGGCCAGATCGCAGCCCCAGCCCTCGTGAGCAGTGCGCCGGGTTCTAGGAACCTTAAGAGACGTACCTCCTTTGGTGATGGCGCGGGGCGGAGCCAGAGAGTGTCCCTGCGCGTCAGAGACATCCGCTTCCGGGGCCACGGCCGTCGGACTGAGGGGCTCGGCAGGTCGGCCAGGCTGCGTTCGGTGTCTCAACCCGCAAGCTACACTCCTTAAGAATCAGCTACCCTTGCTTCCTTGTCCATCGTCTCCGCCAATCATGCTGGAACATCTGAGTTCGCTGCCCACCCAGATGGTGAGGACGCGCGTCCTGGGTCCCCGCACGCCACTTAGGAGCCTAGCTGCTTCTAAAACCCCGCTGGAATACCGACTGGTGCTGCGTGGTTCGCATCCCCAAAGATTGCCATAACTTTCCCCTACTAGGACCTCTTCACTTCCCCAGAGAGGATTCCCTTACCCATGCTCCGTTAAGATGCCCAAAGTTTCCCCGAAAATCAAAATTTTGCTTCCTTATTCGGACCCTTCTGGGAAACTCCTGGTGTTGAATGCTGCCCTGTGCCAACACTGAGTTCCCCTCAAGAACTGCAGTCTTTTGGTAGTAGGACCAACTCTGCCCCTTCTCTTTCGTCCCTAGGATTACAAGGGCCAGAAGCTAGCTGAACAGATGTTTCAGGGAATTATTCTTTCTTCTGCAGTAAGTATTGCTTTTACCTTTAATCTTGTAATCCCTTCTCCCTCGGTTTGACTGTATTTAATATACTTGGTTTCTTTTCAGGTAGTTGGGTTTATCTACGGGTACGTGGCTGAACAGTTTGCGTGGACTGTCTACATAGTTATGGCCGGATTTGCCTTCTCGTGTTTGGTAAGAAATTTGTGGGTGTTTATTAGCAGCAACATAAATTTTCTAAATTGGGAAACTTGGTTGGACCTAGTAGTGAGAACCAGAATCAGCTTTTTCTTCATCTTTCCCATTCATGTTTCTGCTTTCTGTTACTGGAAAAGTGGAATGTTAGATAATGTCCGCTGGTGTGAGCTGCACAGAAGAGCAAGGCTTTCTGATTTCCTCTTGCAGCTTACTCCAGGCAGTAAGATAAAATATGGCAGGGGTTTCCTGCTGTGCTCACTGCTTCCGTCGTTCTTTTCGTTCTTAAAACTGTGAACACTTAAGGCTTGTTCTCACCACCTGCCGGATCTTGTCTGCTCCGTTTGCTCACCTTTAGCATGGTGGTTATTTGGGGACCAGACATTATACATAATGATCTTTTAAACTTTGAGTGGAAATACATGCTGCCTTTTCTCCTTTCTGATCTAGCTGACACTTCCTCCATGGCCTATCTATCGCCGACATCCCCTGAAGTGGTTACCTGTTCAAGACTCAGGCCCAGAAGACAAGAAATCATCGGGGGACAGAAAAATGAAGAGACATGCCAAAAATAATTGATCGGCGCTTTCACGATTCAAGTCATATTTTAACTTATAACTGTTTTATACCATCTCTTCATAATCTTGTTATGGAGAACAGGAATATAAGTATGCAATGCTTCTTTCAGGTGTACATGATGAATAAACACCTCATAACTGCTAGCACTTTTTTTTCTAATAGAGTTTTGCAATAGGTTATCACTATGTAGACCAGGCTGTCTCCAAGCTCAAAATCCCCCTGCTTCAGCTTCCCATACTGCTAGGATTACAGGCATATGCTACCACACCTGGCTTGATAGCCCAATTTGTTTTTTTTGGTTTTGGTTTTGGTTTTTTGTTTTTTTTGTTGAGACAGGGTTTCTCTGTGTAGCTTTGCGCTTTTCCTGGAACTTGCTTTGTAGACCAGGCTGGCCTTGAACTCACAGAGATCCGCCTGGCTCTGCCTCCGAGTGCTGGGATTAAAGGCGTGCACCACCACTTCCCGGCTGATAGTCCAATTTGTAACTATCAAAGTTTCACAATTCATTATGAGTCATTGAACTGTTTTAATGGTGGGTTTTGGTGGTGGTATGATGGTGTTTTTTGTTTGTGCATTTAGTTGAGGTTGGTTTTTTTTTGAGATAAGGTCTTTCTGCCTGACCCTGGATGTCCTGGAACTCTCTATGTAGACCAGGCTGGCCTTGAACTCACAAAGTTCCACATCTGCCTTCGCCTCCCAAGTGCTGGGATTAAAGGCATGCTGTACCATGCCTAGCTCAAATGCTATCAATGAAAACTCATGGTGCAATTCTATGTCTGATCTTTAGTTGGTTATTTTGCAAAACTTATAAGAAGCCAAAGTTAGATGTTTAGAAAACATTAAGCATCATCTTGTTGTCCCTGCAAGTCCTAGATGTTTTTAAATTCACACTTTTTTAAAAGATTTTCTTTCATGTGTGTGCATGTTGAGGTCAGAAGACAGTTTGCAGGCATTGGTTATCTCTTTACACCATCAAGGTCCTGGAGCTGGAACTCAGATTGTCAGATGCTTTTACCAGCTGAGCAGTATCAACAGCCCCCTTGGCTCTCTTCCACTGCTTTTTGTTTTCCATTTTGAACATGGATTTGTATGTATTGTGTGTGGGCCCACATGTAGAGATCAGAGAACAGATGTGGGAGTCAGTTCTTTCCTTCTGTGTGGGTCCCAGGGACTGAACTCGGGTTGTTAGACTTGGCAGCAAAAGCTTTTGTCTGAAGAGCCATTTCACAAGATACCCCCCCACACACACACACACACACACACACAGTTCTTTTTAAATTTTTACTTTTTAAATAATCCTGATTGTTGGAGAAGAGGAGGTTTCAGGTTTAGAGACCCCCAGGAAGCCATCAGACTCCACAGCCAGGTGGCTATGGGCAGGACTGAGAGCCTAGCCCTACCCAGACGTATCTGGGTGCCCCCATCCCATTATGCTGGAGCCAGACCCATGGTGGGCAACCTAGCCAACAGGCCAGGGAGGAAGCAAGCCTAAGGTGAGGAGAAAGAAGAAAACCAAGGCCCTGGGAAAGGGGGAGGGTAGGCAGTAAGTTCTTAACAGCAAACACCTCTGAGAAACTTACCAATGTGAATCTGTATTAAAATAGCACTTTGGCACCTCTGAAACGAGCATTTAAGCAGAAAACGTGTGTGCCTGAGGGAGACCAAAGTGGTAATTATAAAGCTGGACATTCCTTTTAATATTTCCAAAGGACTGAAAAGAAGAATGTGCTTAAAGGTCTCATATTGGGAGTGGATGTGAAAGGATTATTAAAAGCAGTGTTATAGTTCTCAGGACTTCCCATATTATGAGTTTAACATCAGCAAAGACCCTAATTCAACAAACCCAGAAAAGATTCTTTTAAAGAAAAATTAAGACAGATGAGGCATATTAAGTATAATAAATGTGATTGAAAACTTAGAAACTGGGTTAGAGAGATGGCTCAGAGGTTAAGAGCACTGGCTGCTTTTCCAGAGGTCCTGAGTTCAATTTCTGTCAACCACATGGTGGCTCACAACCATCTGTAATGAGATCTGGTGCCCTCTTCTGGCCTGCAGGCAGAACACTGTATACATAATAAAGAAATCTTAAAAAAAAAAAATAAAAAAGGAAAGAAAGAAAATTTAGAAACTTTGCCGGGCAAGGGTGGCGCACACTTTTAGTTCCAGCACTCAGGAGGCAGAGGCAGGTGGATCTCTGAGTTCCAGGACAGGCACCAAAACAATACAGAGAAACCCTGTCTCAAAAAAAAAAAAAAAAAAAAAAAAAGTTAGAAACTTCCAGATAGAGTTAAAAATCAAGGGAACTGGAGAGATTCTCAGTGGTTAAGAGCACTGGCTGCTCTTCCCGAGGACCCAGGTTCAATTCCCAGCACCCACATGGCAGCTCACAATTGTAACTCCAATACCAGGGGATCCAACACCCTCAGACATACATGCAGGCACAGGCAAAACACCAATGTACATAGGGGGAAAAATCTAGTTACTTCACGGTATTGAAATAAAAAGGATGAAAACAAGAACAAAGATATACTAGGCAAAGGGAGAAAGGAGGATAAATGGTGAAAAAACATAAGAATTATTAGGGACTGGAGACATGGCTTCACAGTTAAGACCACCCAGGTTCAATCCCTAGCACCCACATGGGGCTCACAACCATCTTAATATTCTAGTTCCAAGAAATCCGGCTTCCTCTTTTGACCTCTGTGGACATAGGGCATGCACATGGTGCACAGACATTGATGCAGGGAAAATAAGAATACACATAAAATACATGAATCTTAAAAAATACTTTGCAGCCAGACAGTGGTAGCACAAGCTTTTAATCCCAGCACTCGGGAGGCAGAGCCAGATGGATCTCTGTGAGTTCAAGGCCAGCCTGGTCTACAGAGTGAGATCCAGGAAGGCACCAAAACTACACAGAGAGAAACCCTGTCTCAAAAAAAAAAAAAAATTAGAGAAAGTATTAGAATTAATGTTTTAGAAACCAGTGTCAACGGATTATCACATCAAAGTGATACATAGAAAAACAGTAAGAATAGTTTTTATTATATTAGAGAAAAAAAAAGAAAAATAGAAAATGCAATATTGCTATATAAGATCTTGTTTACTCTTAACTGTGTACGTGTGTCCGTATGGAGGTGTGTGCATAGGAGTGCAGGTGCCTATAGAGGCCAAAGGCATCAGGTCCCAGTTGTGAGCCACCTGATGTCAGGGTGCCGAAAATCAAATGTGGGTGCTTTGCAAGGGTAGTATATTCTCAGCTGCTGAGACACCTCTCTGTGGACTCTGAACTTCTTAATTACATGTACATTTGTGTATTATGTGTAGGCAGGTGCACCACAGCATGAATGTGGAGGTCAGAGGACAGCTTGCCAAGGTCAGTTCTCAACCATGTGGGTCCAAGGGGTCAAACTCAGGCCTTCAGACTTCTACTTACTTAGCCATTTCTCTGGCTCAAGGATACATTTTAAAATGAAGATGGAAACTTAGTGAATGTTTAAATAACAATATGGAGAAAAAATTTTAAAAACAATGTGGAAATATGAAAACATGGCACTATTTTTTTTTTTTGAGACAGGGCCTGGAGCTCACTACACAACCAGGCTGGCCTAGAACTCAAAGAGCTCCAGCATCTACTTCCTAAGCACTGGGATTAAAGGTGTGCACCACCATACCTGGCTTAGTGGTTTGGTTTTGTTAAATGGGAGAATTTTTTTTTTAAAAGCTAGGAAGATAATTGTAATACATTTATGCCAGTAAGTTAGAAATACGACTGTCCAGAAAGACGTAGGATTCTAGAACTTTTAAGAAATGACCAGCTCGCCGGGCGGTGGTGGCTCACGCCTTTAATCCCAGCACTCAGGAGGCAGAGCCAGGCAGATCTCTGAGTTCAAGACCAGCCTGGGCTACAGAGTGAGTTCCAGGAAAGGCGCAAAGCTACATAGAGAAACCCTGTCTCAAAAAACCAAAAGGAAAGAAGGAAGGAAGGAAGGAAAGAAGGAAGGAAGGAAGGAAGGAAGGAAAGAAAAGAAAGAAAGAAATGGCCAGCCCAGGAAAGCTGGCTGGGTGCCGAAGATTTACACCCAGCTGACAGTGGGTCTTCAAGCTGTTCTCATAAACCCATCAGAGCAAAACGAAGAGGACTCAGGGACTAGGCTATAACTTGAATTTTAAGACTGTAAGGTCAACAGGTTTTACTTTATTCAATACTTTTAACTCTTGGCACGATAAAAACAAGGGACTAAAAGAGACCATTTCATTAAAATATCGGTGTGTAATTCTCAGAGAAAATGATTTCCCTACACACAACACTTGGAGCTGACCCAGTGGTGCATGCCTTTAATCCCGGCACTAAGTAGTCGGCAGATCTCTTGTGCGTTGGAGTCCAGTCTGTTCTACACAGTGAGTTCCAGGACAGCCAGAGCTACATAGTGAGACCCTGTCTGAGAAAACAAACAACATTTGGAGTAATTTCCAGTCCTTTAAATATAACGGTGAGAGGGCTGGAGAGATGGCTCAGTGGTTCAGAGCACTTGCTGCTCTTACAGAAAACCTGGGTTCAGTTCCCAGCACCCACAGCAGGTGGCTCACAACCACCAGCAAAGCCGAGTCCAGGGGATCCAACACCCTCTTCTGGCCTCCTCAGGCACCTGCACATACATGTCACATATGTACGTACATGTACACACACACACACACTCAGAAAATTAATCTTAAAAATGAAAATTTAATAAAGACTTGTATTTTATTTATAAAAATCTTTCTAGATGGACATTACTTACTAAGTAACACATGTGATATACAATTATGACTTTTTTTTTTTTTTTTTTGAGATGAGGGTCTCTAGTATGAGCTGGCCGTGAACTTACTTTGTCATCCAGGCTAGCACTGAACTCATGACCCACCTGCCTGTGTTTCTCAGGTGCTAGGATTCAAGTGTGCACCACTGCACCCAGCTGTCCAGTTACACATTTAAAATATAGAAACTCAACTGACACTTTATTGTACATAAAGACAGACATTGCATATAACCAATTGAACTAAGGACCTGGACTTTCCTTAGACATTGCTTAGTTGAAAGAAGAATTCACATTTAAGAGATGTTTTTGCTGATGGAAAAAAGAAATGAGTTACAAGCTACATTTTAGACTGAACAAGAGTTCTAAGAGTCTGAAGACTGAACCCCACTAAGGTTCAGATTAAAGGGGAAAAAAAAGTTGTTCAAATGCAGCATAGAGTTTCATGGTCTTTAACTCTACTCCCAGAACAGTGAGGGACATTAGGGAGTAAACATCACTACTCTCTCAGGTTATAAACAATAGCAAGTAGAGGAGATGTCAGGTTTTCTTCTTGCTTTTATCACTGCAGTACAATATAATCCAACATTTTCTGGCCCCATTTCAAGCTAGTTAATATCTTTAAAAAATAAACTAGATATAAAGTTGGTTTAAGGCTCAGTAAACAGTAACAAATAGAACATTTTTCCTCATAAAAATAAAATGATATTCCAAGGTTTTTCTTTTGTGAACGTGTTTCACATTAGGCTACCCTGTCTAATGTTATATAATAAGAAGACCCCAAAGAGAGCCCGGAGGATGACTAGTGGCCTCTGAGTAACTGAAACAGATTTGTTGTTGTTGTTTAGATGAAAAACCTTTGAAAACAGTCTTTAGTTCTGGCAGCACGTTCGAACAAATCTCAAAAATTCACATTTTCTTCAAAAAACTTCAACTGGCGAGCTTTCACACTGTATGCTGTGTACTTGTCCCCCATGTGCTCCCGTAATCGTGCCTATTTGAGAAACAGATAAGAAAATCAGGACAGAACAGGAAAGGAATTCCTGTGATCTTTAAAACAAAGGTTTTCCTGAGAATCACACTGTAATGAACAGGTCCGTTTCAGTAGGAGGTACCTTAGAGGTCACCATGTCAGATAAGCAGGAGGCTGAGCCCCAAGCTGGTGGATGATATCTGCTTGTCACAGAGTCAGCCATCAGAAAGAGGGCAGCCTCAAGCCCCAGATTATTCATTAGGTACGCTAAACCAACAAGGTGGAGAATTTGAGAGGGAGGCCAGAAAGGGATGGCAATGTCTTCATTTGGGAACTTTAAAAACCACTGTTTCGCCGGGCGGTGGTGGCGCATGCCTTTAATCCCAGCACTCGGGAGGCAGAGCCAGGTGGATCTCTGTGAGTTCGAGGCCAGCCTGGGCTACCAAGTGAGTCCCAGGAAAGGCGCAAAGCTACACAGAGAAACCCTGTCTCGAAAAACCAAAAAAACAAAAACAAAAAAAAAAAACAAAAAAACACTGTTTCGTGCCAAATCAGCACGCCAGCTGCTTCTGCCTTTCCTCTATGCTTTGTCCTTTTCTGCTGAATTGTACATTAAAAACTGCTTCACTTTATTACTCTCCTGAATTTGTTGTCTGACTTCTAACAATACCAAGGAGAAAGCCATATAGGGGGATATTACCAGTTCTGTTTACATACAATTACTGTGTGCGTATGATCTGTGTACAACTGTGTAAGTTCAGACATGCTGTGGTGCACATGTGGCGGCCAGAGCGCAGTTCTGTGGACGTGGCCCTCCGCTTCCACTTTTACATGGAAGAGCCTGTCCCCGCCGAGCCATGTTGCTGACTTCTGCATAAAATTTGGAAACTTCTCCGGTCTCAAAAACTAAAAAAAAAATTTTTTTTTGAAACTTCAAATCCAGACCTGAATCCCATCTACTCAAGTTCAAGGCCTGCTGCCTGAGTGAGTTTGAAGCCAAGCCAAGTAACTTAGTGAGACCCAATCTCAAAATAGAAAGGGTGAGGCTTACAAGACCTGACTAATAACCCAAAGATCTGCTGAAATGGATGCTGAAATTTAGAATAACACCTAGTATGTTGAATGGATGTGATACCTATTCTGATAGAATTCACTGAAGACTCAGCATCACTTTGATGATATTCTGGTAAAAATACACAACCTGGAGGTGGAGGCAGGAGGATTGAGCATTCAAGGCCAGCCTACATAGTGAATTTGAGACCAGCCTAGGCTACATGGGACCCTGCCATTAAAAAAAAAAAAAGAATAACCTAGCTAAGAATGTAGCCCATGTCTGTCACACCAGCATCAGGAGGCAGGGGCAGGGGGACTACCAATCTGAGGCCAGTTTATGTTACAAAACAAAGGCCCTCATTAAAAAACACAATGTGAAACTATTCATTCGAACCTAGAGAAGCCCAGTAGCTGGACTAGGACTTAGTCTTGCCTAGCATACAGGGAGCACTGGCCTTCGTCTCCAGCACTGCATAAACTGGGTTTGGCAGCATATGCCTATAATTCCAGCACTTGGGGTGGGGAAGCAGGAGCATCGTAAGTTCAAAGTCACCTCAGCTACACAGCAGATCTGAGGTCAGCCTAGGCTACATGAGACCTGTTCAGAACAGAAAAGAAAGGAAACAGAAGAAAATAGAAAAATACAAAACCACGTGTTATTTTATTTTTATTTTTTGGGTTTTTTGAGACTAGGTTTCTCTGTCTTGCTCTGGAGGCCAGGCTGGCCTCAAACTCAGAGATCTGACTCTGCCTCCCGACTGCTGGAATTAAGGGTGTACACCACTGCCCGGCTCCAAGTGCTATGGTATTGAACACATGGTCTATACTCTTGAAAAGGGTCAATGTGGGGGCTGGAGAGTAGGCACAGAGTGCACGATGGAATACATTCAAGCACTGGTGGGATGGCTCAGTGGGTAAAGACACTTGTCACGGAAGCCTGGTGACCTCTGCACTGCATTCGAGCCCCAGAAACCACACGGTGGAAGGAGAGAAACAACTCTCCAACTGTCCTTACTCTCCACGTTTGTCATGGTATGTGCATGTATGTATGTGCATGCATGCATGCATTCGCACATGCACACACGGTAAATTAGTGTAATTTTTAAAAAAGATAGAAGGCTGGAGAGATGACTCAGCAGTTAAGAGCACTTGTTCCTGTAGAGGATCTAGGTTCAGTTTTCAGCACCCACATGGCAGCTCACAACTGTCCATAGCTGGAGCTCCAGGGGATCAAATACTCTCTTCTGACCTTGGTGAGCACTAGGCATGCACATGGTGCAGAGACAGACATGCAAACAGAACATTCACACATATAAAGTGAAATCTAAAAAAACTGTTTTTGGTTTTTTCCAGACAGGGTTTCTCTGTATGTGTTGGTGCCATGTGCCACCACTGCCCATCTACCTCGTTTGTGCTCTTAACAAAGTGTGCCTGGAGATCAGAGGGCAGAGCCAGATTAGAGGTCAGGCAATGGTGGCACACACCTTTAATCCCAGCACTAGGAAGGTAGAGACAGGATGTGATATGGCTGGGCAGAGAAAGGAATATAACGTGGGAGGAGACAGAAGTTCGGCCCTTTCGGCTAAGGACTCAGGCATTCAGTCTAAGGATCCATGGAGACAGAATCTCGCCGCTCTTCCAGCCTGAGGATTCAGTGGTGGTGAGAAGTTTCTCTAGTGGCTTGTTCCTTTGTCTTTCTGATCTTTCAGCATTTACCCCAATATCTGGCTCTGGGTTTTTATTATAAGACCAATTAGGATTCGTGCAACAGCCTCCTTGCTCCCAGGTAAAAGGTTATCTTTCTGGGAGAAGCAGGACATCAACATGTCTATCATTCTACTGCAAGACTGCAGCTAAAACTCAGCAGAGTTCAGCCAAGAAGCAAGAGTTCCTCTTCTGCCCAGCATAGCCTATTGGACCGAGACTCGACTGTGGGTGCAGCCACACTAACGCCAAACTATTGGGCGTCAACCACCTTCGTCCCAGACCACACAGCACAGCATCCCAAGAAAACCAGAAACTACTACCTGAGTCCTCTTCTCCTCCTCCAGCCAAATGCCCCCTGACCACCGCCACCACCGCTGCCCACTCTCCCGTCTCTTCCTCAGACAGATCTTTATATTGCCCAGCCCGTCGGAAACACTTGGAACCAAGTGACCTCCTGTCACAGCCTTCTGAGTACCTGGGACTGCAAGCAAGTGCTACTAAAAATTCACAAAGTTTTACTTTTTAAAAATAATTTATTCTTATTTTATGTATATTGGTGTGTTGCCTGCATGTATGTCTGTGTGAGGGTGTCAGATCTTGGAGTTACAGACAGTAGTTAGCTGCCTTGTGAGTGCTGGGAATTGAACTCAGGACTTCTGGAAGAGCAGTCAGTGCTCTTAACCGTTGAGCCATCTCTCCAGCCCCCTCACAAAGTTTTAAACAGATTAATAAGCAAGAGAGAAAATTCAGAATATGAAAATTAGAAATTAAAATGGAGATATTTCTTTCAACTCTACAAAATAAAAAATATTGTAACAACTATAAATGATTGTATGGCAACCAACTTCATAACCTAGTTGAAACTGAGAAATTCCTAGAAATAAACAACCTACCAAGACTGACTCACAAAGAAACAGAAAATCTGTATAGGCTCATAGTGTAAGAACTGAATCAAATATCACCATACATTAGGAGAACCATTTGCAAATCTTACATCTGATGAAAGACTTGTATCCAGAATATATAAAAACTCGACAATTTAAAGGTTAATAGCCCAAGTTTAAGATAAACATTTCTCCAAGGAAAATATGCAAATTGTTAAAGTAGATGAAAATACACACAACATCACTAGTCATCAGGGAAATGCAAAGCAAACTTACAATGGACCCCATTTTACACCCACTGGAGTATTTATCCCCTCTGGAATGGCTATCATCAAACAGACAGTAACAAGGACTGTCAAGGGTGTGGAGAAATTGGAACTTCTTATCTTATACTGCTAGTGAGAATACAAAATGGTATAGTCACTTTAGGGAACATTCTGGAAATTGCCCCAACATTTCAATATAGCTATTGTATGATCAAGCAACTTCACTCCTAGAGAATGTACAAATCCAAGAAAAGTGAAGCCTCACAAAAACTTGCCCATGAGTGTTCAGAAGTTAAAAAAAATGGAAACCACACAAATATCCATCCGCTGATGAGTAAACAAAATTCATAGCATAATATATTTGGCCATGAAAAAGACTGATGTATTAGTACATGTTATAACATGGATGACTCTTCAAAATATTACATGGAGAGAAGCAAAACACAAAGGTTACTTGTATGAAATTCCATTTATACACATTGTCCAGAATAGGAAATATATGTAAATATATGCAGAGAGAACTATTTGTGACTGCTGGGGGGGTCACAATGAAACAATGGGGCACACTGCTAGTGTTCTAAGGTTTCTGTGGGGAGCAGGGGAATGTCCAAACGCCGATTGTGGTGAGGACCGAACAGGGACAATCACTGAAATGTACACTTCAGATAAGCAAGTCGCACGGTGCATAAACTCTATTATGTATATTTAAAAGCCTGTAACCCAGCCAGCTTGACACGGCTTAAGACACTTACCTCTCTCTCCAATTCATCTTCCTCCTCCAAAACATCATACACCTGCTCGAGAAGCTGAACCCCCAGGCCCTGGATTACATCAGCTCTCAAGACTTCGACTATTCTCCTGATCTTCTCAGAACCTGATATGATAGCTAACAATGCAGCAACAAGAAACAGGGAAAATAACACCACTACAGTGAGAACAATACAGTCTTTACAAATCCTGCTGCAACTATTTTCGCTTCAACAAGAATCCGGCCTAATGATTTCATTGATATATCTTTCTCTGAGCTGGGCATGGTGGTGCACACCTTTCAGCCCAGGCAGAGGCTGGTGGATCTCTCTGAGTTCAAGGCCAGCTTGATCTACATAATAAGTTCCAGGACAGCTGGGGCTGTGTAGCGAGACCATGTTTCCAAAACAAAAAACAAAAGAAAAAACCCAAAGTATCAAAAAAATAAATAAATATACCTTTTTCTGCTTTATTTTTTTTTAAAGATTTATTTATTTTAAGAATGAGTACTCTACCCGCATGTACAATTTTATACCAGAAGAGGGCATCAGATCCCACTAGTGATGATTGTGAGCTGCCATGTGGTAGCTGGCCAGGCGGTGGTGGCGAACGCCTTTAATCCCAGCACTTGGGAGGCAGAGCCAGGCGAATCTCTGTGAGTTCGAGGCCAGCCTGGTCTACAAAGCGAGTTCCAGGAAGGGCACAAAGCTACACAGAGAAACCCTGTCTCGAAAAACCAAAAAAAAAAAAAAAGGAAATTTGAATTCAGGACTCTGGAAGAGCAGCCAGTGCTCTTAACCACTGAGCAATCTCTCCAGTCCTTTCTGTTTATTTTTGAAATCTGTTAGGTGACATACAATACTATGTTTCATTATGACATTTGTATGTATTATTGCACTTTGATCAGAATCACCTCCTATGACCTCCCAAACCTCCCCACCAGGCACTAGCCCCTTTTCCTCACTTCAAGTAGTCTCATGTTCATTTCCTCACCATGTCTACATTATTATCATGTTACTTATTTCTGTTTGAGTTAGGATCTTAGTCTGTAGCTCAAGCAAGCTGCAAATTCTAAGTAATACTCCTGCCTCAGCGGCTAAGTACAGTGATTATAGGCATGAGTAACTCTGTCTAACTTATTTATATACTTCAGTTTCTTAAAAAAAATTATTTATATTTATTTTATGTGTATGGGTGTTTGCCTGCATGTATGTCTCTGCACCACATCTGCAGTACCCACAGAGACCGGAAGAGAGTCTCAGATCCCCTGGAACTGGAGTTACAGACAGTTATGAAAATTGAACTCAGGTCCTCTGGAAGATCAGCCAGTACTCTAAACTGCTGGACCATTTCTCCAGTCCCTATACTTTAGTTTTCCGGGTGCTGGGGATAAATGGAACCCAGGGCCTTGCCTGTTAGCTAAGCACCCACCACTAAGTTTCACCTCTAGTTTTTAAATGCTTATAAATTAGTCATTGGCCAGGCAGCAGTGGCACATGCCTTTAGTCCCAGCACTCAGGAGGCAGAGCCAGGTGGATCTCTGTGAGTTAGAGGCCAGCCTGGGCTACAGAGCGAGATTCAGGACAGGCTCCAAAGCTACACGGAGAAACCCTGTCTTGAAAAACAAAAACAAAAACAAAATAGCAACAACAACAACAAAAATTAGTCATTAAGCTTCATGTTATCATCTCCAAAATCTAAGAAAACTAACTTGAAGAATTAACAATTGTCTAACTTGAAGAAAATTCACATTAAAAATTTCAAGGGGCTGGAGAGATGGCTCAGAGGTTAAGAGCACTGACTGCTCTTCCAGAGGTCCTGAGTTCAATTCTCAGCAACCACATGGTAGCTCTCAACCATCTGTAATGAGATCTGGTGCCCTCTTCTGGCCTGCAGAATACATGCTGTATATATAATAAATAAATAAATAAATCTTTTTTAAAAAATTTCAAATATTTTATGCAATGTTATAAGGCTTATTGAATTATTTACATTTATTTTTAAAAATCGATTTTCAAGAGGCTGGAGAAATAGCTCATTGGTTAAGAGTGCCTGTTGCTCTCCTGGAGGACCTGAATTCAATCCCAGCACCCACATCATGTGACCCACTACCATCTGTAACTCCAGCTCTGAAAATAGGAGGGCCTCTTCTGGGAATCCAAAGCTTCTAATCTCCACGGGCACTGCACTCACAGGCGCACATCCACAAATTCTAGCACTTGAGAGGCTGAGGCCAGAAGATCAGGGGTTCAAAGCTATCCTCAGCTACAGAGCAAGTTTGAGATCAACCTGAGCTACATGAGCCATTGCCTCCTCATAAAACCAAAATATAAAGAGATATAAATTTTCATGAAACTTTGGAATGTATCTACTGACTATATAAGATACATTTATATATATATATAATATATATATATTTATATATACTTTTATGTAGCTATCCAAACGGAAAGTTAAAAACAAAAACAGCTTACAGTATCAGCCGTGTTCTCCACGAACTGAATTTGCTATTCTGCTGTGAAAGAACAAAGTAGTCACCTGAAGGCAGCTCTTCGCAGTGGAGCCCCGCCTCTTCTGCAACCTTGCCGTGAAGAACCAGCGTGTCTCGATACTTCCGATGAAGTTTGAATTCTGACACCGGATTTAGTACCAGGAGATCTTCACAGCTCTCTTTAGAGTCCAGCTTAAGAGTCTGAGTCATCAGCTGTACCAAGTCACTCATTTCATTTGTATGACTCTTCCTGGGGGGAGGGAGGGACTCCTTAGTGTACACCTGACTTCATGACAAAAGTTGGATGTGAAATGACCCTTAGGGAGTTCTGATGCAAATGCCATGTGCTTGCTGTCTGACAGACTGACCCTTCCACAGCAACTATAATCTTGTGAAGTACAAAAATCAACCACAGGAAGGCAATGAAGACTGGACCAAATCGACAGGTGGCTTTGGAAAGGAGGAGTCCAGTTCTAGCCCAAGGGCAGACCACAGGCATCTCAAAACACAGAAAGAGAGCTTCAGGCTTTCTGACCTACAGAGGCTAGGGTCAGGGGTCAACAGCCACTGCAAACGGAAGGTGAGAGGACTCTGAGACAGGAGGGTCAGAAAGAAATACCCAACTTTGCACACACATTCTGCACAGCCATTTCCAAGTGACTTCATTCTACACAGATATAAAAAGTCAAGAATAGTCACAGAAACACCAGCCTCAGAGAGCTAAAATTCACAGGCTCCACTCCACTCCAAACTGAAAAGAAGCAGGAGAGATCACCCTTGTGAAGGGGAAAAAAATCAAATTTATAGAAACAAGCCCAGAAGTGACCCAAGTAATAGAGCGAGCAGCCAGGGACACTGAAGTGGTTGTTATAGATATACTTCCTATGGCTCCAGAGAGAAAGCATGGACATGCTAAGGGAACAGTGTGGAAGACACACAATGCACCTATGTTGAACTCGTAGAGATGAAAACACGATGTGTTAGATGGGGCTAATGAACTAGACACAGACAGGTGAGTGAGCGCAAATCTTCCATAAAATAGAATCTATGAAAAACAGTACAAAGAAAACTGTGGAAGACTAATCCGAGCATCACAGAGATTGTGTGTATATGCCTGTGTGTATATGCATCACATGCATTCAGTGCTCACGGAGGCAAGAAGAGGGCTTCGGGTCGCCTGGAACTGGAGTGGCAGAGGGTTGTGAGCCGCCATGTGGGTGCTGGGAAGGGAACCCAAGCCTCCGGAAGAGCAGTCAGCCTTCTTCACCACGGAGCCATCACTCCTTTCCTCTCACAGAAGAGGTATTTTAGCTCCGCGTGTACCAGGAATCATGTGTAATGTATGAGTACCGCAGGTAGGAATACTTTTTAGACTCAGTTCAAACACAGTGAGACAGAAAACCAAGAACTTACCCCTCCCTGGAATCCCCATCTGATTTATCAGTTGAGCTTGTAGAAGAACTTAACTCATCCTCAGACAGGCCATGTATCAGTCTCTTTTCCTATTAGTGTTTGGAAAGAACAAAATCAGAATGTAATACTCAAAATGTTTCAAGTGCAGTAACCAGACACAATGTACCTCCATGCAATTAAAAAGGTGAAACTTACAGCAAACTTGAAGCTAATTTATTCAAATGAATGCCAGGCGGGGGCGGTGCACACCTTTAATCCCAGCACTCAGGAGGCAGAGGAAAGTCGATCTATGAGTTCAAGCCAGCCTGGTCTACAGAGTGAGTTTCAGGACAGCTAGGACTGTAATACAAAGAAACCCTGTCTCAAAAAATAAAACAAAGTGAATTTATTCAAATGCTGTCACAGTTCACTCCTGAAGTTCACAACTGAAGACTGAGGAACACCAGGGTGAAGCTTTTTAAGACCACAGTCTCAGTTATGAAGGTATTTCCTTTGCAGAGGAGAGTGGATGGCTGTTCTGGTGATTTGGTTCTCAGGCAGAGGGGCTTACCCCAGAAGGAATACAGGCATTTTAAACAAGATACAATGACACATTAATCCAGGCAATTCCCACTTGCTACTATGTGAGATTATTAAAATTATATACAAGGTTACCTAGTACAATTCACACAAACCTCACAGCTTTAGAAAGTGCAGATGTCAATTAGTGAAGTAACTTAATGATACTGTAAACAATACACCAAGTTGCTGGTGGCTCACATCTAATCCCAGCACACAGGAAATTTAGGCAGAAGAACTGCAGTAAGCCCCAGGCTGGCCTAGGCTTTATAGAGTGAATTTGAGAAGACTCTGTCTCACAAACCTTAAATAACCTGACACAAACAGGAAACTGAAGATTCATCATTAGCAATTGAGTTAAAAATCTGGCCATAAAGCCGGGTGGCAGAGGCGCACACCTTTAATCCCAGCACTCAGGAGGCAGAGCCAGGTGGGTCTCTTTGAGGCCAGCCTTGTCTACAGAGTGAGATCCAAGACAGGCACCAAAACTATACAGAGAAACCCTGTCTCAAAAAAAAAAAAAAATCAGGCCATAAAGATGGATATTTAGTGATACAGAAAAATAGACCAAGTGTTGCCTAATGGACGATCTTAGCCTGGCCTGCTGGTACAGGACTGTAATCTCAGCTACTTCAGAGGCTGAGGCAGAAGGATTGCAAGCTCAAGTTTAGCCTGGGCTACACAGTGACTATAAGATCAACTAGTGAGTTTGTAAAACCCTGTCTCAAAATAAAAGTAGAAAAATGGTCTAGGGAATATACCTCAGTGGTAGTATACTTGCCTAACAAGTGTGAGACCCTAGGCTCAATCCCCAATATCAAAAAACAAAAACAAACAAACAAAAAGAGAGAAAACAAAACAATTCCCTAAGAAAGGCTTCTGACTAAACTTCCAACTGTTAACAAGAATGCCTGGAAAATACATAGCCTTGGGACTGGAGAGGTCACCTAGCCATTAAGAGCACTGGGTGCCATTCCCAGCACCCACATGGTGGCTCACTACCATCTGTAACTCCAGTTCCAGGAGATCTTCTGGCCTCCAGGGCACCAGGCACACATGTAGTGAACAAACACACATACAGGGAAAACACTCATACACATTTTAAAAATGTATACCTTCAATGAGTTGAGCATAACCTTTTAAATTATTATTTGAGTTCTTTTGTTTTTTGTTTGTTTATTGGGGGGGTTGTTTTTGTTTTCTGGTTTTTCAAGTCAGAGTTTTTCTGTAACCTTGGCTATCCTGGAACTCACTCTAGACCAGGCTGGCCTCAAACTCATAGAGATCCACTTGCCTTTGCCTCCCAAGTGCTGGGAATTAAAGGTGTGTGCCACCACCGCCTGGCCTGAGTTCCTTTCTTGATCAAACGTGAAAAAGAGGGCTAGGCATAGTGGTACACACTTTCTTTAATCCCAGAACTTGGGACACTGGTGGTTGGAATAAGAACGGCCCCCATAAGCTCACAGATTTGAATGCTTGGTCACACTGAGTGGCTTTATTAGGAGGTGTGGCCTTGTTGGAGTAGGTGTGGACTTGTTGAAGCAAGTGTGTCACTGGGTGTGGGCTTTGGGGTTTCTTATGCTCTAGCCAGGCCCAGTGTCTTGTTCTCTTCCTGCTGCCTGCGGCTCCAGATGTAGAACTCTCAGTTACTCTCCAGCACCACGTCTGCCTGTGGACCACCATGCTCCCCACCATGACAGCAATGGGCTAAAACTCTGAACTGTAAACCAGCCCCGATTAAATGCTTTCCTTTATAAGAGCTGCCATGGTCATGGTGTCTCTTCAGAGCAATAGAACATTAAGACAGATACAGAGACAGGAGAATCACGAGTTCAAGGTCATCCTGGGCTACACAGCAAGATTTAATCTTAAAATGAACTGAGTATGGTAGTGTATGCCTGTATTCTTAACACCTACAACATGGAGGCAGGAGGATTTGGCAGGAGGATTTGGAGGTCACCCTCAGCTACACAGAAAGTTCCAAGTTGGCCTCCGTTACTGAGACTCTGTCTCCCAAAAGAAATAGCATGGTGAGCAATGCCCCTAAAACATGATGCTGACATCTGTTAGGTTAACTGTATTAGGTTTCCCAGGAAAAGACACATTATCTCCATGTCCCTCAGGAGTGTGTGATGTACCTGAGCGATGCTGCAGTCTGAAGAGAATCGTCGGGAAGAAACAGGTTGGTCTTCTTCCTGTGGCTTCACTGGCTCCGCTGCACCTGGAGTTCTCCGAACTGAAGGACCTGAAAATATGAACACCCCAGCAGCTGTCTGTGGTGTGCTGGACTCAGCTAAGGAGGACTTCGTACTGAGTACAGAAGACACTACAGGAAGAGTCAGCCAGAGTAACCCAAAGAGCATGTGCATCATCATTCTGCTGTCTGCCACTTTAGCCCAAATTTAGTCCTGGGTTTACCAGCTTTGAAGCTTGGGCAAGTTTTTAGCCTTCTAGAACCACAGGGTAACACTACCTACCTTTGGGGATGACTATAAATACGAAACAAGAAACCGCCCTTAACACATTTACCGTAACGCTGGAGACACAGCCACCTTTAATACAGGACAACTGGTAACACACAACTTTTAGATGATGGTAGTAAGAATGACCCGCAGAGGGGCTGGAGAGATGGCTCAGCAGTTACGAGCACTTGATGCTCTTGCAGGAGACTGGAGATCTGTTGCCAGCAACCACATGGTGGCTCCCAGCCATCCATAACTCCACTTTCAGGTAAGCCAACGACTTCTGACCTCTGTAGGCACTAGGCATGCAAGTGGCTTACATATGTACATGCAAGTAAAACACATAAAATATACATAAAATAAATCTAAAAACAATTTTAAAAATAGAATCATCCATAGAGCCAGGTACCACACACCTTTAATTCCAACACTCAACAGGCAGTGGCAGATGGATCTCTGAGTTCAAGACTAGCCTAGTCTACAAAATAAGTTCCAGGCCAGCCAAGGCTTACATAATGAGATCATATCTCAAAAAACAAGCAAATAGAGCTGGGCGGTGGTGGCACATGCCTTTAATCCCAGCACTCGGGAGGCAGAAACGGCAGATCTCTGTGAGTTCGAGGCCAGCCTGGTCTACAGAGTGAGATCCAGGACAGGCACCAAAACTATACAGAGAAACCCTGTCTTGAAAAACAAAACAAGCCGGGCGGTGGTGGCGCACGCCTTTAATCCCAGCACTCGGGAGGCAGAGCCAGGCGGATCTCTGTGAGTTCGAGGCCAGCCTGGACTACCAAGTGAGTTCCAGGAAAGGCACAAAGCTACACAGAGAAACCCTGTCTCGAAAAAACAAAAAAAAAAAAAAAAAAAAGAAAAACAAAACAAAACAAAACCACAAACAAATAAACAAACCCAAACCCCTCCATTCCTTAGCCCAGTGTAGCTCCCTGACCAACAGAGTCTGGATGGGAAAACATGGTAAATATTCACCTGATGTCTAGCCTGAGATTCAAAGTTCAAACACTCTGAGTTCTCTCTCTCTCTTTTAAATTTATTTACTTGTTTGTTTAAGAATTTTAGATTTAAAAATTTTATTTTGTGTGTATGAATGTTCTGGTGTACATGGAGGTCAGAAGGTGTTGGATCCCCTGGAACTGAAGTTAAAGATGGTTGTGAGTTACCACATAGGTGCTGCGATCTGAACCTGGGTCCTCTGCAAGAGCATCTCTCCACTCCCTGTCTCTCACTTTACTCCTCTTTCTCTGATACGCAGTTAAGAGTCCATACTCCACAGTTTTTTATAAGGCTTATCTAAGAAATTTCAAGAACTCTTCCACATCCTTTTCCCAGATGGATTATTCTGCTTCCAAGATTGTACACCTAACAACCAGAGCCAATTCTTCTGACCAGCCACCAACAACCAACTAGATAAAGACGCCGGCGTCACCTGAGGGGAGCATCTCTTCCTGAGACTGCTTCAGTCGTCTCCTCTCTCTGGCCGATAACAGTCGATCCTGAAAGACAGTCATGGAGTTATTTCTGTTTCTACTCACTTTCCCTGTAGCAATGCATGACATAGCATCCAAGAGTGCTAACGGCCTCCCACGGGTCTCTCAAGGAGCGGAAACCACTTTGCATGTGGAGTTTAGTCCACACAAGGGTAACACCTATGAAAGAGTGATCACAGTCCTGGCTTCTGGAAGATGTTCATTTGTGGACGAGCAAGAAAATACTTTCATACTTCTCATATTCAGAATCTACTTAGTCTCCTTACATGATTGCAAGTGGCTCTCTTTGGAAGTGCAGACGACGTGCATTGCAACCAAAGCCAATGCTGTGAAGGCACAAATCTGTCCCTTCTAGAATTGTAAAGTGGGGCTAATACATTTTAACATGAACCTCCACACTATACACTGACTTATAGGAAGTATTTTTAAACCAGCACACATTCATACAAACCTTAGACGATGATGTTGAACTGATCCTTGAACTGTCTACAGACTCAGCCACAGGTCTACCTTGGTTTTCATTATTTTGTTTTGTTGCTACGGTATCCACTTTTCCAACAGCAGGGGGAGAAGGCAAAAGCCGAGCGGGTGACTCTTGGAACTTAAGTAATTTAAAGAGGGGGGGAGATTATCAGTTTCATATACAGTCATCCCTAAAACTTCCCATTGCCAAGTCCCCCATGCATTCATTACTGATTTGTCCTTAAAATTTTTAAAGCACTTAATTTTTTTTTTTTTTTGACAAAGGAAGGTCTCATTCCCCCAGGCTACCCTCAAATTGACTATATGTAGTCAAGAATGAGTATGAATTTCTGATTGTATTTACACATCCTAAATTTTGGGGTCATAGGTTTGTGCCACTATGCCTGGTTTACTTGATGCTAGGGAACCGAACCCAGGGCCACAGGCATGCCAGACAAGCAATCTATCAAATGCGCTTTATCAACATCTTAAAAAGCCAGTCCTGGTTGTGCAGGGCATAATCCCAGCTACCTGAGAGGCTGAGGCAAGAAAATCATAGTTTCAAGACCTACCTGTGCTACAGAGACTCTGCCAAAAGTGAAGGACTACCTAAGAAGCTTAGGGATAGGATATCTGAATGCATATATCCATATATATCCATATATAGCTATATAGAGATACATACGTACATATACATATATATTTTAAGACATAGCTTCTTTTTTAAGCTTTATCTATTTTATGTATATGGTGTTCTATCTGCATGTACACCTGCATGCCAGAAGAGGTTATCAGATTCCATTATAGATGGTTATGAGCCACCACGTGATTGCTGGGAATTGAACTCAGGACCTCTGGAAGAAATGCCAATGCTCTTAACCACTGAGCCATCTATCCAGCCCCAATGGAAGATATTTTAATAAAGGCAGTATCAAGGGCTAGGAATTCAGCTCAGTGGTAGAGTGCCTATATAGTATTCACAAGACCCTGGATTCATTTTCCAGCATTGCAGAGAAAAAAAAATATATGGTCAAGAAAATATATAAAAAGAAAATTCATGTTCAGCAACATAACACAAAGGAACCAAACAGCCTGTTCCTTTAACTTTCAAAATGACCCACTCATTTTTGCTATATTTCCAACTCACTGGTACTTGAAAACGAGTATGAAGCATCTTATCCTTGCCCAGCTTCTCGCTCCATTCTTTCCATTTCTCCTGTACTTTTTGGCAACTGTTAATCATTCTAAACAAAAGTCAAGCTTCCCAGAGCCTGTCTCCCAAGCAGCACAATGACTCACTGCAAAGAGATTGCTCACCTGGCTCTCTGCCTGACCATGGGCAGTCTGTTCTCTTTTTCTCTGCCTTCGCTGTCGAGACACGGAAGGTTCAGACACAGAGTTGTGTGGCTGGAGTCTTGGGTGGATGCTGTCCTGTTTTCCTATTATACATCCACCAGGAACTTGATCCTTAAAAGAAAAAGAAGGAAAGAAACACATACTAAAGAACTGCACATAGTCACAGGACAGTCTTAGAACTTCAGATGCCGCCGGGCGGTCGTGGCGCATGCCTTTAATCCCAGCACTCGGGAGGCAGAGCCAGGCGGATCTCTGTGAGTTCGAGGCCAGTCTGGGCTACCAAGTGAGTTCCAGGAGAGGTGCAAAGCTACACAGAGAAACCCTGTCTCGAAAAACCAAAAAAAAAAAAAAAAAAAAAAAACAGAACTTCAGATGCCAAACTCTCTACACCTACTTTTGCAATTGCAAAATGAAGGACTAGAGAGATAGTTAACCAGTTAAGAGCACCGGCTGCTCTTCCAGAGGACCTGGGTTCAATTCCCAGCACCTACATGGCAGCTCACAACCATCCATAACTCCAGTTCCACGGGATCCAACACCTTCTTCTGGCCTCTATGGGCACTGGCCACACACCTGGTGCACAGACATCCATGAAGGCAAAACACCCACATATCACATAAGTTTAAAAATAACGTCAGCTGTACAATGGAAGTGAGAAGGAAGCCTTCTCTTTTCAAAATGAATGCTTACGTTTACAGGAAATGATGACCTTAATTATGTTCTGGTTTTTACTCTCTTGTCTCAAACAAAAGCAATTATTTTAACAAAATGCTTAGAAATAAACTTAACAAAAGAAATATAAGACTAATGTTTGGGGTGTAGTTCAATGTAGAGTACTGGCCTAGCATGTCTCATGTCCTAGGTTTAGTCACCAGCACTAAGAAAAAAATTAAAGTAAAAGACACCTACAGAATGGGAGACAATATTGTTAAATCTTGTATCTCATGAGATGTGGTACCTAGAAGAACTCTTTCAATTTGATAATAAGAGAAATAAACCAATTAAAAATTGGCAACAAGGGCTAGGAAATGGCTCAGTGGAGAAGAGAATTTTCTGCTCTAGCAGAGAACCAAACTCAGTTTCCAACTACACGGTGGCTCATAGCTGTCTGCAGTGTTAATCCAGAGGATCCAATACCCTCTTCTGGCTTGTATGGGTACCAGGAATGCATATGGTATACATATATACATGCAGGCAAATACACACATAAAATTAAAATAAATATTAAAAAATTTGCCAGTGATTCGGTACAGACTATTTCTCTAAGGAAGTACACAAATGACCAGTATGTGTATAGAAAGATCCTCAGCACATGAGTCACTAGGAAGATGCAAGTCAAAACCACATTAAGGGTCTGAGAAATGGATCAGTGGTAAAGAACATGTACTGCTCTTCCAGAAGACCTGAATTTAATTCCCAGCACCCATATCAGGTGGTGCACAACTACCTGTAACTTCAGCTTCAGGGGATCTGATGTCTCTGGCCCCATAGGACATCTGCCCTCATGTGCACATACCCACACACAGACACAGATAATTTAAAAATAATACAAATAAAATCTAAAAAAACCCAACACCATACATTAAGACTCTATTGCAGAATCCTTTAGGCCAACAGCTATAATCACAAAGCTGGACTGTTGTGGAGTATTTGTTTACACTGTGTGAAGATGTGTCACTGTGATTGGTTTAATAAAGAGCGAAATGGCCAATGGCTAGGCAGGAGAGAATAGGCAGGACTTCTGGGCAGAGAGAGGAACTCAGGATCAATCTTTCAGTGAGACACTGAAAGTCATACATATAGTACAGAGGAGAGATAACTGAGCCACGTGGCAAAACATAGAATAGTTAAAAACAGGTTAATTTAAGTTATAAGAGCTAGTTGGGGAAAAGCCTAAGCTAAGGCCAAGCTTTCGCAATTAATAAGTCTCCATGTTGTTATTTGTGAGCTGGCAGCCTAAAGGAAAGTCTGACTACATTTGGCACCCAAAGCCGGGCACATAAATCCACATAGGGCTTGAGAAAGCTGAAAAAAAATTCTGAACACAGAGTCAGACGCAGCTTCCAGGTGACCTCAGTCTCTCAAGCAGGCCAGGTGCTTGAAGCATAGAGGCGCGGCCCCTTTAATAAGGCAGAGCACTTGAGCAGCCTGTGTGCTACTGGGGCAGGAGACTAGACAGAAGTGCCTGTCCACACCTTGGACACGGAAGCTTCCCAGAGCTGGGATGATTAGGCTAAGAGGGGTAGAGCCAGTCACCAATGCCATGTGCTAAGCTAGCCATGCAACAGAGGGACTAGCTGCTACCTAGCAGTTTAAACTTTGGCTCATTCAGTCCGAGAACACTGAAGGCACTTAGTACAGTCAGGACCAGACCGAAAAATCCTCTGAACATGTACAGAATGATTAAAAATGTGCTTAGATGATAAAGAAAAAAATAGTTTAAAATAATAAAGTGAAGTCTTTAAGAAAGAGTAAAGTAATTAAAAAAATAAGACATGCAAGGATGGGAAATACAAAGGGTGTCTGGATCCTATATAGTGCTTTTTTTACTTTAAATTTTTTGAATGCTGATGAGTGAAGTGCAAACACTGCTGCGAGACACAGGACTGCAGAAAAAAACTGCTAAATTAGACCAACCTATATATTTTAAGAATGTCTTAACTTCAGAATAGAAGTCAGGATATATGTTGCATTGGGGGAGAAGTTACGCCTTTGTTTCCACAGGAAACAAAAACTGTGGATTTCCTCAAAATTAATAAAGACCAGATTTGATTGGGAGACTTCCTGAAAATCTTGGCTACAAACATGAGGGAAGAAAACCAAGAAAAACTACAGGACAGGTGACGTATATGCTGATCCCTCGACATGCGATCATGTCTGATACTGAATGAGATATGATAAATCTTGTTGGCTACAGAGTCCTCATGACTTATCATTACATGCCATCCTTTCATATGGTATGGATAGAGATTTATTTTACAGTTTGGTTATGCAGTCCAAATGGTCTTATTAAGTTGATAAATGCCTTTTACCTGCTCAAACATAGAACAGAAAGTCATCTTTAGCTGACTTATGCACACTGCACATTCCATACTTATGTTAATGCAGAGATATATGTTCCCTTTGAAAGTTTATGTTTTCACTGGGCATGATGGCACATGCCTTTAATCCCAGCACTCAGGAGGCAAAGGCAGATGGATCTCTGTGAGTTCAAGGCCAGCCTGGTCTACAGAATGAGATCCAGGACAGGGACCAAAACTACATGGAGAAACCTTGTCTCAGAAAACAAAAAACAAAAAACAACAACAACAAAAAGTTTATGTTTTCAGCAAAAGAGGACCAGATGAAGACAAGTATCCCAGGTGATCCAGCCTCTAAGAATGCCTCTGTTGCAGTTTCCTCAAAATTCTGCATCCAGAACAACTTCAAAGCTGCTAGCTGAGAGGGTCCAGCCTCACAGACTACTCTAGCCAGGACTTCAGATAAGATCTATACTTTCCCGTCACAGAGACTAAACAAAATATAATACAGCTAGTCCTCCTAGGACTTGACCATTATCCTAAATTTCTCAGGGTCCCCTAAAAATGCCATCACCCTCAGACAACAGGAAGCAGCCTAGAGAACATGGTCATTTGGTGAGTTATGAATGTCATCGTTTAAAGGGGTTGGTTGCAAACTGTTACTGGTCATGGTCAGAGAAAAACCTAAGCAAGGGAGGTTGGATTCAAGGATCTCTTTGTGAAAAGAAAAAGGGGGGGATATAGGAATGGCAGGATAATAGGATAGATTATTGAATCTACTTTTAAACTAAAAAGCAACTATTAATCTCAAATATTTTACATTGGTATGGATTTTTATATATTAATATAAATTTAAGATTATTTTTGTTATAACATACTATATATATATATATATATTTCTACTCTTGAAGATATTTTTTGTACATTGATAGAAATTTAAGGTTATTTTTGTTACAACATACTGTATATATGTTTCTATTCTTGTTTAAGGTAGTATACCTATGCAGCTCATTTAAAAATGTAATGGGCTGGGCAGTGGTGGTGCACGCCTTTAATCCCAGCACTTGTGAGGCAGAGGCAGGTGGATCTCTGTGAATCTGAGGCCAGCCTGGTCTACAAAGTGAGTTATAGAACAGCTAGGACTATTACACAGAGAAACCTTGTCTCAAAAAAAAAAAAAAGGAAGGGCTGGAGAGGTGGCTCAGAGGTTAAGAGTAGTGGCTGTTCTTCCAGAAGTCCTGAGTTCAATTCCCAGCAACCACATGGTGGCTCACAACCATCGATAATGAGATCTGGTGCCCTCTTCTGGCCTGCAGGCAACATGCAGAGGAATATTGTATACATAATAAATAAATAAATCTTAAAAAAAAAAAAGAAAAAGAACAATTATCAAGTAAGGATTATAGTCACAATGTCCAGCCTTTTTGTATGGAGAAATTACTCTATCATCTAACCTATCTTGATGAGTCCAAAGTTTTATACCTAAACTATTTTCTATCATAACTTGTATTACCATCCTAAAAATAACTTTTTAAACTTTAAAACATTTTCTTAGATAAACAACTGAAGATTTTATGTGTCTCAACTTAGAAACTTTACATCTCTTTTGTAAGTTTCCTTTCTGAATTTGGTAACAAAGAAAACAGTGTAACTATCTAGCCTTCAACTTAAGTAAACAGGAAGTGCAGAGTAAACAACTTCCCAAACTATAGAAATAACAGAAACATCTGGTCACCCAAATTTCCTCTGAAATGCTGGGGCATCCACCACTGCCCAGCTTAATTGTTCTTACTGTATATAGTTTTACTGTGTTAAGAGTTAAAACCTTTCCTTTTTAATTGGACAAAAAGAGGATATTTGCAGGATATTTGATCACACCATGAACCCCGAGTTTACATTTGCATTAATAAAATCAACCTTGGGTCAGGCGGCCAAGTCAGCAACTAGTTGACAGAAAGTAATCATAGAGTCAGAGGGTGTTTGTAAGACGACAGAGATGCATAGAAAGTAGTAGGGAGGGACTTTGTGTGGTGCGGGTTTTTTTGTTTTAGCGGAGCAGAAGAAGCTCTCTTTTGGAGACATAGGCAAAGAAAGAAGGTCAGCTAGTTAGTACTCAACCTCTCTGAGTAGCAAGCTTTCACCCCAGCCTTTGACTCCCAAGTCTTATTGGTAAATAGAATGATAGTGATTCATTTAAAACTTATATTTGCCAGTAGTGACATAGTCAGTGCCTGAGGGAACAGAATTCCCACCAAGCTGTGGCCTGAGCAGAGCTGCAATTGCTAGCTGAAACAGCGGTAGATTAAAGTGCAGTCTCTGTGCTGACAGAAAATCAGCACTGGCCAACAAGGCTGGAGATGTAGAACAGTAGTAGAGGACTTGCTTAGCCTGTATTAAGCACTGTGTTTGGTCACAGTATTTAAACAAACAAACAAAAAAAGATGGACAAGAACAAGTCCTGACAAAAATCCTGGACAAAGTAGGTCCCTCATACATCACTACTGGAAAGCAAATGACTACAGTTGCTTTAGAAAACAGCCTTGCGGTCTCTTAAAAAGTTAAAACATGGTGGGGTACTAGAGAGATGGCTCAGTGATTAAGACCACTGGCTGCTCTTTCAGGTTCAACTCCCAGCATCCACATTGCAGCTCACAACCAGCTATAACTCCAGTTCCAGGGGCTCTGATGTCCTCTTCTGCCCTCCACAAGCAACAGGCACAAAAGTGGTACACAGACACACACGCAGACAAAACACCCACATGCATAAAATAAACATTTTTTACAGTTAACATAGGTACAGTAAGATGGCTAAGTGAATAAAAGCTCTGCCATGAAAGTGTGATGACCTGATTTTGATCCCTTGAACCCATATAAAAGTCAGAATTGACTCTTTAAATTGTCCTCTGGCATCTACACCCAGGCCATGGTGTCCATGACACACACACACACACACACACACACACACACACACACACACACACACACAAATGATTTTTTAAATATTTTTTTTAAAAAAAACACACAGGAGCTGGGGAGATGACTCAGGGGTAAAGAGCACTATGTTCTCTTCCAGAGGTCCTGGGTTCGATTCCCAGCACCCACATGGTTGCTCACAATTGTCTGTAACTCCAATTCTAGAGGATCCAACACCCTTGTCTTGCCTCTTCAGGCATTGCACACACATAAAAATAAACCAACTTTAAAGAAACACATACACACATATCCACAGCAGGGCTAGAGACTGAACTCAGTAGTAGAGGAATTGCCTAGCCTAGCATGTGCAAAGCCCTGAGTTCAATCCCCAACACCACACACATACACACACACACACACACACACACACACACACACACAAATCAAAGCATTATACGTAAGATACATACAGGGAAACATACTTGACAATAAAAAATATACTGGCACGCAACACCATGGATAAACTTTGAAAACATTAAACATTATGTGAAGTAAAAGAAACCAGGCACAAAGGCCATGAATCATCTGATTCTATTTACATGAGATGCCGAGAATTGGCAAATCCACAGACATATGTTGCCATGGGCTGCAAATGAGGAAGAAGGGGAGTGACTGTCACTGTGCATGGTTTGGTTGGTTTGTTATTGTTGTTCTTTTTAATAGGTGATGAAAACATTCTCTAGTTTAAACTTGCAAACAAACAACCGACATACCCATATCTTTGAGTTTTATTAATAATTAAAAAATTAAGATTTGTTTATTTATTTTATAGGCATGAGTATTTTGTTTGCATGTATGTAATGTACGTGTACCACATGTATGCTAGTGCCTGTGGAGGAGCATCCATAACTGGAGTTATGGATGGTTGTGAGCCACCATGGGGGTGCTGGGAGCCAAACCCAGGCTCACTGCAAGAGCAACAAGAACGGAACCATCTCTCTAGGCCCACACCTACACCTTTGTAACCATACTGCCTATTTCTTCCCTCTGAAAACCACTCCTTCTGTGTATCACTCACCTGTTCTGGCTTTTGGTCTTTATTTGGGGGCTGCAATGGCTTCAGCAGTTCATTCCCATCCCCATCCCCATCATCAGAGGACCATCTGGGAAGCAGATTTTCAGGCTGATCGCTGGACTTGTTACCACTCTGCAGCCGCTCCTTCTTGTCTGGAGAAATACTGCGTTGACTGTCGACTTCATTAGAGGTGTCTGACTCTTTCGGTTGACTCTCCTGAACTAGGCCATTATTTGCTGAGTCCCTCCTCTCTGCAGGTAAGATATCGATGTTTATCTTGCTGATTGTGGCAAATGACTCTGCAGTATTGTTCATATCTGGCTTGCCAGTGTGGCCTTTAAGGCTAGCAGGTGATTTCAAGGGACCAGTGGCCACTGGTTTCTCTTGGGACAAACACTTATCTTCACCCTGGGTAAAAAGATGTTCTGAAGTTATTACAGTACCTCATACCATATATAAAAATTAACTCAAAATGGAACAGCAGGTTCCTTAAAAAGTTAAACATAGAATTACCATTTAACTCAGCAATTTTACTTTTTGGCATGCACTTTATTTTTATTATTACTATTTTTTTAATTTTATGATTATTGGTGTTTTGCCTGCATGTATGTCTATGTGAGGGTGTCAGAAGCCCTGGAACGGGAGTTACAGACAGGTATGAGCTGCCATGTGGATGCTGGGAATTGAACTCTGGTCCTCAGAAGAATAGTCAGTGCTCTTAACCACTGAGCAATCTCCCCAGTCCCATGGCATGCACTTTAGAAAAATAAAAAGGAGGAACTCAAACAGGTATGTGGGCCAATGATTCCAGCATCATTACTAAAAAAGAGTGTGCACAGTGGCACGCATCGTATTCCCAGTGACTGAGGTGGTGGGCTGAAATGGGAGGACTATCGTGATCTGAGGCCAGCCTGAGGACTCAGTGAGTTCCAAGCTACCCAGGGCTATATAGCAAGACTCTATTTTAAACAAGAAAGAAAGCTGGGCATGGTAGCACATGCCTTTAATCCCAGTACTCGGGAATTGCAAAGGCAGGCATATCTACAAGTTCAAGGCCAGCCTGGTCTATATTCTTCGTTCCAGGACAGTCAGAGCTAAATAACAGAGACGCTGTCTCCAAAGGAAAAAAAAGATAGAAAAAAAAAGGAGACAAAGTAGAAACAACCCAAATGTTTATCAACAAATCAATGGATAAAATGTGGTATATACATAAGATGGCTTCTGCAAGTACCCACACATGGCATATACTCTCACATAAACATATACAAAGACATAAACTTTTCTTTAAAGGGATGGGATGACATTCTAACATATGTTATCAAACAGATGACCCTTAAAAGAAGCTAAGTGAAAAAATCCAGATAAAAAAATAATACTATATATAGCTGGGCGATAGTGGCACATGCCTTTAATCCCAGCACTCAGGAGGCAGAGACAGGCGATCTCTGAATTCAAGGCCAGCCTGGGCTAGAGAGCGAGATCCAGGACAGCCAGAGCTAAACAGAGAAAAACCAAATATATTTGCATATATGTGTGTGTGTGTGTGTGTGTGTGTGTGTGTGTGTGTGTGTGTGTGTGTGTAGTATGATTCTATTTATATAAATTGTCTAAAGCATGAAAATTCATTGATACAGAAAACAGATAAGAGGTTCCTAGGCTCTGGAGATCGGAGGGATAGGGAGTTAGAGCTTAATGAATAAGGAGTTTCAGTTCTGTATGTTAGAAGAATTTTTGAGGCTAGTGATGAGGGCTATATCACAACACTGTGAATATAACCAAGGACACTGGACAATACGCTTAAGAGTTGTTAAAATACAGACTGTCAAGATGGCTCAGCAGGCAAGGGCATATGCTGCCAAGCCTGGTGACCTGAGTATGACCCCCTGGAACCACGTGGTGGAAAGAAAGAACACACTACTGCAAGTTCTCTTCCTCTCTCTCCCCTTGTTTCTCTCTCTCTCTCTCTCCCTCTTTCTCCCTCTCTCTCTCTCACACACACACACACCAAAATAAATAAATAAATACATAAACGCAAAGAAATGTTTTTCAAGGTCTGGGCATACTGTTTAGAGATAGGGCCCCTGCCTACCATGCACAAGGTTGTGGGTGAAAACCCTAGCATTGGTGGAGAGGGTGTTTACAAATGAAGGAAAAAGCACATGATCACCTCAACAGATGTAGAAAAATCCTCTGACAAAATTCAATACCCTTGCATGATGGAAAAACACACAAGGGCCAGAGGAAACTATCCTAAGATAGTAAGGCCATGTGTGGAAAATCTAAACTGCACATTATACTTAGTGACCAAACTAAGAGGCTTCCCTTCCAGATCAGAAGCAAAGGGAAGTTGCCCCTCATTACTTTCACTTAACATAATACTGTAGGTGACAGCCAGAGCAGTTAGGCAAGTAAGAAGAAATGAGGCATCTGCACTAAGGAAGATATAAAATTATCTGTCTGTAGGCTAGATGGTTTTGTACATAAAAGCCCTAAAGATTACACACAAAGATTCCACCCCCCCTCTCTCTCTCACACACACACACACCTATTAGAACTAATAAATTTAACAAAGTTTTGTGAGTTTGTTGGTTTTTTTTTTTCCTGCTTTCTCTATAGTCTTGGCTGTCCTGGAACTCACTCTACAGACCAGGCTGGCCTCAAACTCACAGAGATCTGCCTGCCTCTGCCTCCTGAGTGCTGGGATTAAAGGCGTGCACCACCACACCTGTCTGATATTGTTATATGAATATTTACTAATAAAAATGGAACCAATAAGACAGAAAGTAATATTGGTTGGTGAGAACATGAAGAAACTGGAAATGCAGAATGATATAGCTGCTGCGGAAACCTGTGTGGTGCCTCAAGGGTTAAACACAGACTTATCACTTGACCTGGCTTTTACACACAGGTAGACAGCCCCCAAAAACTGAAACCAGGTGCTCAAGCACTGGTCCTAAATGTTCACAGCAAGACCCACCAGTGAAAAGAACCCAAATGTCTACCAATGGGTGAGTGGATAAACCAATGCAGTTTATTATTCAGACCTCAAAGAAATGAGGTATTGGTATATGCTGCATGGCATAATATAATATTAAAACATATTATATTATGTTTTAAAAACAAAATATGTTTTAATAATAACATAATTATTACATAATAACTCAGACACAAAAGGCCACCAGTTGTATGATTCCATTTTATGAAATATTCAGGAAAAGGAAATGTATTCATAGAGACAGAAAACGCTGGTGTTTGGCAAGGTAGAGGAGGCTGTAAACAGTGGCAGCTTAATGTGTAAGGAGCTTCCTTTTGGTGATGAAAATATTGTGGAACTAGAGCCGGGCGGTGGTGGCGCACGCCTTTAATCCCAGCACTCGGGAGGCAGAGCCAGGTGGATCTCTGTGAGTTCGAGGCCAGCCTGGTCTCCAAAGCGAGTTCCAGGAAAGGCGCAAAGCTACACAGAGAAACCCTGTCTCGTAAAACCAAAAAAAAAAAAAAAAAAAAAAAATATTGTGGAACTAGAAAAGAAGTGATAATTGTGCTAAATGCCCATGATTGTCCACATTATGTGGGCTTCTGTGGGGCTGCAGAGATGGGTCAGCAGTTAACGTTTGCTGTGCAATCATGAGGACCACAGTCTGCATCCCAACACCCACACACCAAGCCAGGCATCCAAACATGCTTGTAACTTCAGCTCTAAGGATCCAGTGCCCTCTTCCAGCCCCCACAAACACAGGTGTCACATTCTCACACATATGAGAGTACACTCATACACACACACACACACACACACACACACACACACACACACACACACACACACACACATGAATAAAATAGCTTAAATAGTTTTTAATGTAAATTTTATCTTAAAAAAAAAAAGTTATTGTATTGACTTTGTGAACAACTTGACAGTCTACAGAAAGTAAGAAAAAAGACTGACCTTCACCAGTATGCTCTCTTAAAACCAGAAGTTACTGCATAATCAATCTCTAGAAAAGCAGTCATTGACACATAAAGTTGTTCACTTAAATGACCTGTTCTCATACAGTCCCTAAAGCATTAGCACAGGGAGCATACCATGACGTGTGTAGTGGAGCCCTCACAAGGGCATGGCTGGTAGTGAATCACTTCATGATTTGTTTCTTCCTTTCTGGAAAGTACAGCAGCAACAGGCTTGGCTTTGGAGTCACAGTTTTTAACATTATTTTTGGAAGTTTTTCTTTACAGGGAAGAAAAGAAAGTAACATTATCAACACAGTGATGATTGACAGTTTGAAAGAATATGTGAAATGTGTATCTACAATACAATGGCATCATTTTACAGAGACTGTCTTGTCAAAACCTAGAGGGCATTTTCTAAGACATTTGTCTTCAAGATAATTGAGAGTATAAGAAATAAGAGAGCAATCAGAGACCCAAAGGAGGTTAAGGAGGCTTAAGAGACTTGAGAACTCAATGGGATATTGTATCTTGGATTGAATCCTGGCACATAAAGTGGAAACATTAACAGAAAAACTAGCAAAAGCCAACGAAAGCCTGAGGTTAGTTAACAGTAATGTACCAGTGTCGGTTGGTTTCTTAGATTTCTGTTTTGTTTTGAAACAGTCTCCCTGTATATTTCTAGATGTCCTGGAACTCCTGCATAGACCACACTGACCTGGAACTCACAGAGATCTGCCTGCCTCTGCCTCCTGAATTCTGAGATTAATGGCATGCACCACCATACCCAGAACTGGTTTCTTACTTTTAAAACACTCTTTTAAATCACATTTATGGGGACTGGAGAGATGGCTCAGAGGTTAAGAGCACTGACTGCTCTTCCAGAGGTCCTGAATTCAATTCCCAGCAACCACATGGTAGCTCACAACCATCTGTAATGAGATCTGGTGCCCTCTTCTGGCATACATGCAGACAGAACACTGTATACCTAATAAATAAATAAATCTTAAAATCACATTGATTGATTCATTCACTCATTCATTCACTCATTTATCGTGCGCATGTGTACACAAAAATGCACACATGCAATCAGAAGACAATCTGTGAGTTGCCTCTCTCCTTCTGCCATGCAGGTCCCAGGAACTGAACTCAGGTCAGCAGGCTTAGTGGCAAGCACCTTTACTTGCTAAGTCAGATCAACAGCCCTGGTTTCCTAATTTTGACAAATGCCCCATGATAATAATCTAAGATGCTAGGTAGGAAGAACTAGATGAGGGGTATAGAGGAACTCTGTACTATCTTTATAACTTTCTATAAATACAAATCCCAAAATTTCTATGAGAAAGTAGCTCACACACGGAAGGACCAGGATAAGTTTCCTCTTTTAAGTTTCACATGTTTATAGTAATATAATATCACTATTATTTTGCAGACTTTCAGAGTAAAAATAATTGGTTTATATTCTCTAACTTGCATAATAAATGTGTACAAAAATAACACCTGAACTGCTTAACGTGCTGTTTCTAAGACTGGGCTGAATCTCAGGAAAGCATGGAGAGCTGAGTCACAGAAGGCCAATTAGAAGTGATGTGAACAAGCCAGGCAGTGATGGCGCACACCTTTAATCCCAACACTTGGGAGGCCGAGGCAGGCAGATCTCTGTGGGTTCAAGGCTACATACATAGTTCTGGGACAGCCAAGGCTACACAGAGAAACCTGTCTTGAAAACCAAACAGAGAAAAAGAGGGAACAGAAAGGCAGTGGTGATGAGCTGGAGTGGTGGTACACGTCTGTAATTCCAGCACTTGGGACACTGAAGCAGGATACCAAGAGTCCAAGTTCTGGGCTACAGCAAGACCTTGTCTCAAAAGGGAAACATGTTCATCCCCTGAGCATCTCTAACATTGCCTCCTCTCCTCACAAACTTATCTTGCCACAGGCAGAAGTAAGCTAACAAGATAGTGACAGTCTCATCCGACCTTAAGTCTTAGATACTCAAATATCAATTTGCTAAAAGTAAGACCTGTGGTCAAAGAAAGGAATTCCTTTTCTCTTGAAAAGTTATATGAAGAGAAACCCTTTGAACACACAGAAATTGGAGCACCATTTTTCATATATGACCATTTTCTTACATGGGGAATAATTAAGAGTAGCTCTCTAAATGGTTAAAAAAAATCACATATATTCATGTCTTTGTGTGTACACGTGTAGAGGTCAGAGGACAACTTGTAGGAGTTGATTCTCTTTCATTATGTGGATCCTGGGGACTGAACTCAGGTTTTCAGGATTGGTGGCAAGTATCTTTACCTGCTAAGTCACCTCACTAGCCCCTCTAAATGGTTCTCTAGGTTTTTGATTCAACAATTATGCAAATTTTAATATCTGCTGTGGTTTGTTTCTATGATACTGGGATTTAAATTCAGGGCCTTGCACACATGAGGCAGGCATCCCACTACTGAGCTAAATGCCCAGCCCATTTTTAATTCTGGGACACACCATGAAATATTCCTTTACACTGTATGAAGATGTGTCGCTGTGATTGGTTTAATAAAGAGCTGAATGGCCATTAGCTAGGCAGGAAGAAGTTAGGTGGGACTTCTGGGGACAGAAAGTCCTGGCAAGAAGAATGGAGGCATCTCGAGCCAGACGCAGGGAGAACAAAACATGCAGGAGGAGAGAGAAAATCCATGAGTCACGTGGCAACATGTAGATGAATAGAAATGTGTTAATTTAAGTTATAAGAGCTAGTGGGACAAGCCTAAGATATACGCTGAGCTTTCATAATTAATAATAAGTCTCCGTGTCATTTTTTGTGAGCTGGCGGCCCAAAGAGAAAATTCACCTACTAATGGTACCCAACATGGGGCACATATTTCCACATAGGACCTGAGAAAGTTAAAAAGAAAAGTTCCAAAGACACAAACATGGCGTCAGATGCAGCTTCCTAGTTCCACAGTCTCTCAGGTGGGCCATGTTGTACAGAGACGGGTTTCCCAGCCGCTGCTTGCAAGTGCACGGTGATCTAAACTGCACCATGGGTTTAAGGTTTGACTCATGTGGTCAGAGAATGCTACAGGCACCCAGTAAAGCATAGTCCAGACAAGAAAAGAAAAAAAGTATGGACAGTCACAAAAAATTGAAAAAATAGTAAGATAAAGTCTTTAAAGAGCAAATAAAATAATACAAAAAGGATAAGCTACATAAAGATGGAAAATACACAGAGAGTCTGGATCCTGTATTGTGTTTTGTTGATGTTAAACTTTTTGATTGTTGATGACTGAACAACAGCTGCTGAGAAACATTAGATTATGGAAACTGCTAAATTAAACCAACCTATATATTTTTTAAATGTCTTACCTTCAAAATGAAGGTCAAAAAATATGTTGCATTGGGGAAAGGTTTTGGTTTTGTTTCCACAAAGAACAAAAGGCTATGGATTCATTTAAGGTTGATAGAGATCAGATTTGACCAGGAGAGACCCCCCTGAAAATCCTGGCTACAGACATAAAAAATAAACCTAGAAAAACTACAAGATAAGTGATGTAAATTTTATCTGCTCAAACATGAAACAAAAAAATCATCTTTGGCTAGCTTGTGTACAACACATAGTCCATACTTGTGTTCATGCAGATATATATGTTTCTCTTGAAAGTTTGTGTTTTCAGAGCAAGGGGACCAGATACCAATGAAAACAGGTGGCCCAGGTGATCCAGCCTCTCAGAGTGCCTCTGTTACAGTTTCCTCAGAGTTCTACATCCAGAACAAGGCTGCTGGATGAGATGGTCTGGCCTCACAGACTATTCTAGCCAGGACTGCAGATAAGCCTTGTACTTTCCCATTGCACAGAAACTTAACAGTAAATATTATGGCTAGTTTTCCCAGGACTTGACCATTATCCCAATTTTCTCAGGTTCCATAAAGATGTTGTCACTCCTAGACAACAGGAAACAGTCTAGAGAACACGACACCCACATTCGCAAGAGGTGGGATGGGTGGTTTTTGTCATGTTATGGATGTTTGTCATCATTTAGGGGGGTTGGTTACAAGTTGTGGTCAAGAAAAAAGTTACACAAAGGAGATTAGATTCAGGGATCTCTTTCTGAAGGGAAAAGGGGGGAATATAATATAGAAATGATAGGATAAAGGGGTAGATTATTGAATCTACTTTTATATTAAAAAAGCAACCTCTAGTCTTAAATACTTTATATTGATATGAGTTTTTGTATATTGATACAAATTTAAGGTTATTTTTGTTATACTGTATATATGTTTCTATTCTTATTTAAGATATTGTGCCTATGCAGCTCATTTAAAAATATAAAGTTTTAGCCGGGTGGTGGTGGTACACACCTTTAATCCCAGCACTCGGGAAGCAGATGCAGGCGGATCTCTGTGAGTTTGAGGCCAGCCTGGGCTACAGAGTGAGTTCCAGGAAAGGCTCCAAAGCTACACCGAGAAACCCTGTCTCAAAAAACAAAACAAAAAATTAAAAAATAAAGTTTTAATCTTTAAAAACTATTTAGGATAATAAAGAATGCAAGTTAGTAGTAGTTAGTTACCTATAACAATCAAACTTGTAGTCATGTTAGATATGTTTTCAAGGTTATATAGAGATACATTTTAGATAGATGATCTTCAAACATTTCAAAGACTTACAGAATATGGCATTCAAAATGTTTTAATAATATAAGGCTTTCATGACAGTGAGCCATGTCTGCTCCTGGCAGCACTAATTTATTTCAAAAAGGGATGATGGGCATTGAAAAACCTCCATATGAAGTTTGCTTTCTTTGTGGAAAATGCTAGCCACTGGGCAAAGAAACTGCTCTTGCCTCAACTGGACAAGCAGGACATAAAAGAAAGTGAGTGCCAAACTTTACCAAGACAAGGTAGGTCAGTCCTTCAAAATTCCCAATTTACAGAAAAGTCTGTCAGATAGTCTAGGCCTGCAGGTCAAAGATGGATACTCCAACGTTACAGAGCAACCTTGGGGTGACTGTCTAGGCAGCCAGATGTCTCTGTCATTTCTTAGTTTTGGAAGTTGCTCACCCTGTACTTCCTGTTTACTCAAGTAATATTTTATCCTTCTTGGATCTCTGATGGGAATTGAAGACTAGATAGTTATAGTTGTACAGTTTTTCTCGTTACCAAATTCAGAAAAGAAACTTATGTAGAGATATAAAGTTTATAAGGTCAAGAAACATAAAAGCTTAAGTTATTTACCTAAAAAGATGGTTTAAGGTCTAAAAAGATATTTTTAGCATGGTAATACAAGTTATTACAAAAAATAGTTTAGGTATAAAACTTTGGACTAAGGATAGATAATGGAATATTTTCTTTAAATTTGCCAAATGTAAATGGACTGGACATTGTAAATATAATTCTTACTTGATAATTGTTCTTATTGTATATAGTTTTACTGTGTTAAGAGTTAAAAACCTTTTTTTATTTAGACAAAAAGGGGGAAATGTTTTGGAATATTCCTTTTCCCTGTGTAAAGCTGTGTCACAGTGATTGGTTTAATAAAAAGCTAAATGACCAATAACTAGGCAGGAGGTATAGGCGGGACTTCTGACAGAGAGAGCTCTGGGAAGGAGGAGGAGCCACAAACCAGAGGAGAGGAAGCAGGACAGGCAGTTCAGAGTAAAGGTGACCGAGCAATGTAAAAAAGCATGGATTGAAAAATGAGGGTTAATTTAGGTTATGAGAACAAGCTAGGAACAAGCCTAAGCTAAGGCCGAGCTTTCATAATTAATAAGTCTCCCTGTTGTTTTTTTGCGAGCTGGTGGCCCAAAGAAAAGTCCGTCTACAGGGACAAGGTCTCACTAAGTAGCCCTGGCTGGCTCACTCTCTAACTTGGGCAGGCTTTGTTTTTGTGACACTGAGTAGCTTGGATTATAGGCCTGTGCCACTAGATCTGACTAACATGTATATAAAAGGTGACAGAATATGCCACCCTAAGAAATGTAACTTTGCTGGGCAGTGGTGGGCCACTACTTTAATCCCAGCACTCTGGAGGAAAGGGAGGTGGATCTCTTGAATTTGAGGCCAGCCTGGTTTACAGAGCAAGTTCTAAGGACAGCTAGGGCTGTTACACAGAAAAACCCTGTCTCAAAAAAACCAAAAAAATTTAAAAAAAATAAAATAAAAAAATGAAAGCTGAGCAGATAGAAATCTGTAAACCTCAGTAAAGTAATTCTAATTTTCCTTTACCTCTCCACACAGCTCCTTTTCACAATCCCCTTTCTTGTTAGCCTACCACAGATGCATTAGGTTTTACTGCTTCAGGGGCTTCCGATTATAAAACTTTATTCTACTTATGAAACATAAACCTTTTATTAAATAAATTTTGTTACTTTCCTATGCAAGTTAAATTCTGAGGCCCAGGCCAAAAAACATCAAGAGGGTAGAATTTTGTCTTCTTACATATTCTAATCATGTAGTTTTACTTTTTGTTTAAAAAAAAAAAAACTCACCATAAATTTTTACATATGAAAATTTAGGGGGGTGGAGAGATGGCTCAGCAGTTAATAATGCTGGCTGTTCCTCCAGGGGACCTGGGTTCAATTCCCAGCACCCACATGGCAGTTCACAATTGTCTGTAACTCCAGTTCCAGGGGATCTGACACCTTCACATAGACATACATGCAGATGAAACACTAATGTACATAAAATAAAAAATAAATAATTTTTTAAAAAAAGGAAAGAAACTTTAGAAGCCACCCTCTTTTGCCCCCTCAGCATAGCCCAGCTTTCTGTAAGGGAAGTATCTTACGCTTTTGTGGCCTCCAAAAATAAGGAGATTTGGTGTTTTATATAAGGCTGCCTCAGAATGCTCCGCACAGAGGGTCTTTCCTCAGGCCTCCTGCTTAGCATTGTCCGGATCAGCTCGGCCAGCTCCGGGCTATAAACTTTTGGCATTGGTGGTAACTGCAAAGAATAACAATACTGAAATTATGATTAGTGATATTATGAAACAAAGCAAAAACTGGCAGGCTTTCCCAATACTTAAAAACCATTATAGTATATAAAAGTATTAATATTTATTAATTTATTTAAAGTAATATACCCACAAAAGAAGAAAACAGCAGGCATATTAGTTTATGAAAAGTGTCTGTTCTGGTTATAATAACATGTTATAAGAATACAATAGTATCCCTTCAGCTCAGCAATCCCATTTGAGGACTCTGTCCTTCAGATAGGAACAAAGTTTCTTCTTCTAAATTTTACTTATTATCAGCATGTGTGCATTAATGAGCATGCGCATATTCAAGGCAGAAAACAACTTGTGGGAGTGGGTTCTCTCCTCCCACCATGGGTTCTGGGGATCACACTCAGGTCATCAGGCTTGTGCTGCAACCATCTTTACCCACTGGGCTATTTCACTGGCCCAAGAGCACAAATGAGAGTTATATACCAGAATATTCAGTGCAGTGTTGGTCCTGCAGTAGTCAGTAATAGAAATGAAGTGTTCAGGTCCAGAGGACTTAGGAGTAAGCTGTGCTACACTGCTAGTTTGAATGTAATCGGCCGCCATAAGCTCATGGAGAGTGGCACTATTAGGAGGTGAGGTTTGTTGGAGTAGTGTGGCCTTGCTGGAGGAAGCGTGTCACTGTGGGGAGGGCTTTGAGGTTTCCTGTGGTCCGTTGACTTCCTGTTGCCTGCAAGCAGAGATGTAGCCAGCACCATGTCTGCTTGCACAACACCATGCTCCCCACTATGATGATAATGGACTGGACCTCTGAACTGTAAGCTGCCACCACCACTAAATGTTTCCTTTGTAAGAGCTGCCATGGTCATGGTGTCTCTTCACAGCAATATTCTTCCCATAAAACACTAGGCAGCTGCTTCAAAGCAAAAGACAAGTACTACAACTAATCCAAAAATGTAAGCTGGGTCCCACCACTGTGTACAGTAAGATGCCACTTGTTTCTTCTTTAGATTACTTGTGTATAAGTACATACACACCCAGAGCTATAGCTGTTTCAAAGAAAGAAATGAGGGGCCTTGGAATAGATTGCTAATAGTAGCTATCAAGAACATGAAAATGGAGAACTTTTTATTCCTTTTTTAAACTGAATTCTTTAACTAGTAAGATTGGAAACAAATTTTGAAGAGTTTCTATTTTTATTTTATGTATATGGGTGTTTTGCCTGAAAGTATGTAAACACATCACAAGCACAGTGTCAGCAAAGGCTGAAAGAGGGCATCAGATGCCCTAGGGTCTGCAGGTACATAGAGCTGAGAGCTGCTATGTGTGTGAGCAGTAGCATTCTTAACCAATGAGCCATCTCTTCAGCCCTACAATTGGAAGATTTTACTCATGTACTTGAAAAAATATTTTTCAGTGAGTCTTTGGATAATCTTTAAGTCACTGCAAAGGGCAACCAGCCTCAGGGAAATAACATGAAGTTAGTATTTCTGGCATCCACATCATATTTAATACATTCTGCAGTTCTTTATCAGTTACTTGCAATTATGACAAGTACCAAAGAGCACATTCTAAGAGGATGGATTTGTTGTAAATAGGGCTCGCTCAGTTATGGGCTACTGGGAGATAGCACCTATGCATCCTGCAGTCAGTCACAGGGAGAAGTTTTCAAACTGCAGCTCTTTGGAGTCAATCAGCTACTTTTATATATTAACATTAAGAGAAAACCAAATACTTCTCAACTTCGACCTTTTCCGCAGAAGAGCTCCTAGAGTCCTAATTATTCAGCTGGTAGCGATGAATATTAGTCAGTTAATCAAAATCATTAGTGAGGGCTGGGGATGTAGCTCAGTGATGGAATGCTTGCTCTGCACTTGCCCTGGGTTGGACCCCCAGCACTGAAAAAGAATTAAATTATTTCAACAATAGATATTTACAAAGCTATAGTATATAAACCTTGTCCAATTCTAAATTATTTTTTACCTTTCCTTCAATAATCCGATAAACTAAAGAATTCATGTCTTTTGCATTAAAAGCGTGCTTCAGGGTGGCCATTTCATAGACACAGCATCCCAAAGCCCAGACGTCAGACTACAAAAGAAGAACAGTAAACGGTTAATGTTGAATATCTTATTTACATTTTTACTCTCAAAACAAAGCATACATTTCCTTCCAACCGATTCAGTTAATTCTAATTTAACTACTCATACGGGCTCTGAAATTCTGGTCTCTCCCAGAGGCCAGGCCAGGCAGTGCACACCTTTACAGCTGTGCACATCCTACCTTATAGTTGTAGGGCTGGTTTGAGAACAGCTCAGGGCTCATGTAATAGGGAGTGCCGATGAGGGTGCTCGCCATGTCCCCGTTGTGCTCCAACACTCGGGCAATCCCCAAGTCGCCCACCTTAATGATGTTTGTTCTGGTTAAGAAGACATTCTGAGTTTTCAGATCTCGATGAAGGATGTGTTTCTCGTGTAAATACTGAGAAGACAGAAAAAGTTTTCACTATATGTAAGTATACTAATTTATTTACTTATTTCCAGCTTTTTATATACACCACCAGTAATTACTTAAGTTAAACAGCCTTAGTTGTCTGCCAACCAAAACATCACTGTTCTATAAGCTCTAAATAAAGAACTACCTTACAACTTTCAAAGTAAGAAAAGTGAGTTCCAGGGCTGGGGAGATGGCTCGGTTGGCAAAATGCTCGCCACACAGTATGAGAACCCGAGTTTAGATCGCCAGCACTCTGTAAAAAGCCAGGCATGCTGGTGCACTCCTAGCCTGGGGAGGTGAGGACCAGAGGATCTCTGGAGCTCGCTGCCATGTAAGTGCATTTCACATTCAATGTCTAACACTTTCACATCCAGCTTCCACACATAAGTGCTTATGCATGTGCACACATCTGTGAACATGTATGCACACCCACACAAAATTAAGTTCCACATATTAGTTGGCCTGGTACCTTCTGCAATTATTTACTGATGCCTTGACAACTCTATCATTTTTAATAATACCTGGATCATTTAAATATTTGCTTATAAAACAGGCATGGTGGCTAAGGCCTATTAAGACCAACACTTGGAAGGCTCACACAGGATGGCTGCTGTAAGTCTGAGATTATCTTGAGCTATATAGTGAGTTCCAGGCCAGTGTAGACGAAAGTGAATGCGTGTCTCCAAGAAAAAAATAAAAATGTACAAACTCCCACTGAAGGTGGAACAACTTATCCAAAGCCTGATGTGCGCTCCTCTCAGACCCAGGAAACCCTAGACAACATTTTAAAGTACAAAGCATCACTTTTACCTCAAGAGAGCATGTGAGAATTTAAACAAGGTCAGTTAATTCCGGACAAATAAGCCCCGGGCCTGAGAGACACTCCAAACACAGTCTCACTCGGGGATGTGCATACTAAAACACAAATCTGTTCTGCATTTTCATCCTCTCTGCCACAGCAACAGGAAAACCTGAGCCACACATACTGGAGTACTAACTAGCCCAGCCATCTTTCAACATGACTTAGCTGACCAACTGATAAGGCACATGGTCATCCTTGGTTCTTTGCCAACTCAAGGCTCTTAAAACTGACTTTGCTATAAATATTTAATGCACAAAGAATTAGTATCTTCTGTGATTATATATGAAATCCATGTCTACTTTAACATAGACATCACTCACTCAGAAACATGCCAATGCTACAGCAAGGGAGACTGATTTAGCTTCTAATTGTTGGTTTTATTAAGCGGAGCTATTACTGTGCGAGAAAGTTCACTAGGCATGACAAAACCCATTATCAGAGCAGAGTTTTCTTAGAAGGGACAGGGAAGGGACAGAAGAGAGCATGACCAGGCCTGTGGAAGAGACACGTGCAGAGACAGAGAGAGAGTGGGGAGAAGGAGAAGAGGAAGGGGAGGTATCTGTGACCCACTTCTTATAGATTCCCCTGCACATACACATAAGGGCTTAAGGAGCTACACCACCCATGCACAGACTGCACGGATTACATAGGACATAAGGCCCCTTGCTTGTCTACTGAACTGCGCCCGTGAGGTCACATAGCTGGAGGAGTGGCCGGAACTCCAACACTAAGGACATTTAAAAAAACAAACAGCCGGGCGGTGGTGGCGCGCGCCTTTAATCCCAGCACTCAGGAGGCAGAGGCAGGTGGATCTCTGTGAGTTCGAGGCCAGCCTGGGCTACCAAGTGAGTTCCAGGAAAGGCGCAAAGCTACACAGAGAAACCCTGTCTTGAAAAACAAAACAAACAAACAAACAAACAAACAAACATGTTTCCCCCATGTAAGCACGTGAAAAGATGTCTTCCTAAAATATGCAGACACTGCCAGGCGGTGGTGGCGCACGCCTTTAATCCCAGCACTCGGGAGGCAGAGCCAGGCGGATCTCTGTGAGTTCGAGGCCAGCCTGGACTACCAAGTGAGTTCCAGGAAAGGCGCAAAGCTACACAGAGAAACCCTGTCTCGAAAAACAAAAACAAAACAAAACAAAACAAACAAACAAAAAAATATGCAGACACTGTCCTGGGGCTGAGCCATTCATTCTAACCTCAAAACAAGGCTGCTTTCACATCAAAGTGATAAGTCTCTGCACTCTGAAGGCCCCTCCGCCAACGCAGCATTCCAAATTAAACCAAATCAGACCGAATTGGAAAAGCCCAGGTTTAATGGTTAAAGCATTTCTGGGTGATTCTCAGCCCCTCAGAGAGGAGACTGGGACGCTAGACCAGAAGAACCATGGGTCTATTTTCTGGGATGCAGCTTATGTACCCTGTGGGAGTGGTCTTGAGCCTCTCTGGGGGAGGAGCTGTGTTTGGGGGGCTGTGAAGGGGCAGGTTTGGGGAAAGAGATGGGAGAGGGGATTTGAGGTGGACCTTCCACCAGAACATTCCACTCTTTGAGTATAGGGATGCCAGGGTGCCAGGGTGCCAGGGGTTGAGGTGAAGCTCAAACCCAAACACAAAGTATGCTCAGCAAAGACCAAGGGCCTTGGTGCCTCTCAGCAAGACCACAAAGACCTCAACAAGTCCTGGTTGTAGTCACCCTGACACTGCTGTACAAAATGCCACTCTTATGCCGGGCAGTGGTGGCGCATGCCTTTAATCCCAGCACTCAGGAGGCAGAGCCAGGCGGATCTCTGTGAGTTCGAGGCCAGCCTGGGCTACTGTGGGAGCCTGTTCTCGGGTTCCTCGTGGCTTTACCCAGCAGGTCCGCATAGAGGATGATCAGGACCACGGGCCTGAGTGCAGGTGTCTGAGATGGTCTGCACTTGGCTGTGCTGGGGGAGGAGGTCTTTTGCTCCACCCCCTTGGCGTCTCTATAAATATCCTGGGGCAGAGACAGTCAGGGCCCGTTGGAAAAGGTTCCAGGCCCTCTCGAGGCTATCCTTTATTTTCTATCTGTCTATCTCCGCAAGAGTCTCCGCAATAAATCCTTCTATCTAATATTTCCTGCTGCTCACACTCAAGAAAACTCTGGGGAACTGTGGGGGTGGTGGGTAAACGCCCCACAGGCTACAGAGTGAGTTCCAGGAAAGGCTCCAAAGCTACATAGAGAAACCCTGTCTCAAAACAAACAAACAAACAAACAAAAACAAAAAGAAAACGCCACTCTTTACAGAGCAGGCTGGGAGGGGTGGAGGTGGGTAGGCATCAGTAAAGTACTTGCTGTGTAGCATGGGGACTTGAATTTGAATCCCCAGCAGCCATGTTAAAAAACAAAAAGGGCAGGGCTGGAGAGGAGGCTCAGCGTTTAGGAGCACTGGCTGTTCTTCCAGAGGTCCTGAGTCCAATTCCCAACAACCACATGTTGGCTCACAACCATCTATAGTAGGATCTGATGCCCTCTTCTGGCATAAAGTTGTACATACAGACAGAGTACTCAAATACACAAAATAAGTAAATCTTAAAAACAAATAAACAAACAAAACGCACACAAAAAGGTCTTCGTGTGGCAGAAGACACAAACAGAGAAGCCTCAGATCCTAGAAGTCTACCTCTGGTGAGCCACGCCTGCCTTGTACATAACCAGTCCAGGAAGAGACTACCAACACTATAAAACATTCCTTAGCCAAATAATGGCATGTCTGCTTAAGCATCCAGGTATAAGCTCCGCATACTCGTTCAACTTGAGTTCTAAACGACCAGGACAGTGTGACACTAAAACATTGCCTGACTGCCATGTGGAGACACCTCTCATAAAACCAGCCCCTAGCCTTTAATCTTAGCACTCGGGAGGCAGAGGCAGACAGATCTCTGAGTTTGAGGCCAACATGGTCTACAGAGTAAGTTCCAGGACAGTCAGGGCTACACAGAAAAACCCTGTCTTAAAAAACTAAAAATAGGGCTGGAGAGATGGCTCAGAGGTTAAGAGCACTGGCTGCTCTTCCAGAGGTCCTGAGTTCAATTCCCAGCAACCACATGGTGGCTCACAACCATCTGTAATGAGATCTGATGCCCTCTTCTGGCCTGTAGACATACATGCAGGCAGAACATTGTATACATAATAAATAAATAAATCTTTAAAAAAAAAAACTAAAAATAAACAAACGAACAAAAAACAAAACAAAACAAAAAACCCAGCCCCTAAAAATATTACTGTACAGACAATTTTTCTCTCCACTCTTGCCTTGCTATATCTCAGCAAATTTAGGAAATTCTACTTCTGACTTTTTCTGTATTGGTGAAATCATTCACACACAGTCCATGGGTCACTAGCCTACCATGTCATTCATCCCTGGCACAGGAAAATGCACCTGCTACCTTCCTGCCACACCGAGCCCACAGCAGTCTATGAGTGACAGTACCTGCAAAGCCATGGCGATCTGTACAAACCACTCCACCACCTGACTCTCAGGCAGAAGCTGCCCCTTCTGCTCCTTGAGCTTCCGGTACAGATCACCTCCTTCGCAGAAGCCCATGACGATGTAGAGCAGACCATCTCCTCCCTCCCACGACTCTTTGTAGGTGACAATGTTGGGGTGCTTCAGCTGAGACAGGAGCTGAGCTTCCTGCTCGGCAGCTCGGCGCTCACGGCTGGAAGCATTTCGGAGGTTCAGTTTTTTGATGACGTACTAACAAAGAAAATGAATACTTTCATAAGGTACAAGCAAACAGAGTTCTCTAGGTTCAGAAGTAGCTGAGAGTTCTCAAGAATGTCCAGTCCTTAAAACCAACCTTCTGGAGCCTATCAGATAAACTACTGGCTTGTTTTTCAAGAGGTATAAAATTGCCAGTTGGATACATTGAAGAGGAGGTGGTAGGAGGATCTAAAATCATAAAACTGGCTGGGCGGTGGTGGTGCACACATTCAATCCCAGCACTCTGGAGGCAGAGATAGGTGGATCTCTGAGTTAGAGGCCAGTCTAGTCTACAGAGCGAATTTCAGGACAGCCAGGGCTACGCAGAAACCCTATCTCAAAACAAAACAAAAGGATAAAACTGGGGAAACTATTTGCCCCTGACAATTGTGCTTTCTTCCCCCAGTGCTGGGTTCAAACCCCAGGCCTTGTACATGCTAGGTAAGTGCTCTACCAATTAGTCCAACTAACGATTATTTTCCTAAGTCTGACTTATGCCCATTCCAGGTCACAAACAAACTACCCTTTCCCTCTGAATTTTACAATTTCTTTGAATCTACGATCCCAGCTACTTTGAAGGCTAAGGCAGAAGGGTTACTAAAGCCCAGAAATTTGAAACCCAACCTGGACAACATGATAGCCTATCTCAAAAAAAAAAAAAAAAAAAACAAAAAAAAAAGTACAAAAATTAATAATGACTAAAAAGTAAATCCAAGATAACATATTATTAGACAAAAAAAGAAAAAGACTCCTTAACCTCTAAATTCTCCCTACAAAAGGCATTAAGATGTAGTTTAAATAGTTGTCCGAGACCCATTATATACTCATGGCCCAAAAAAGTTAAAGCATCATTGGTCCTCCACATAGGACATCATTCCCATTTAAAAATAAGATATTTTATTTAATATAGTGCCCTCAATCATCTCCAAGATCACATACTCACTCCTTCAATAAACACATACACAAATGTGTTTCCTGAAGCTCAAAGCACTGCTCAAAAAGAAGGGTTATTATTATAGCTATACTCTTACTCTTAGCACAAATGTCCCATAATTCCCCGGGGGGCCTACTGAATTAATCTTATGAGAAAGCTTGTGTTCTCGGCAGAGACTCTAGCATGTGAGGAGAGTGGGTCCTATACTTGGGAGTGTGGGGGCTCTCTCAGCTTGCTCTTGCAACTGGTTTGGCAGTCCTATGAAATGCCACTTTTCAGTTTCATAGTTGTCCCCTTTCTGCAAAACATTCCATGGACACCCTGGCAGCAAGTCATACTGAAGACCTGGCTGTGAGCCTTTGGGAGATAAAATACACAGAGAAGGAGTGACCTCAGATATGCGTTCTGGAAAGATCACTGCCGCAAAAGGGATGGGTTAGAGAAATGAAAAGAGGCGACAGGGACTCGTCGGGAAGGGGCGGGCATGTAGCTACCAAGAACGGTGTCTTGTATTGGGGTAGTACCAAGAGAGTTGAAGACGCTGGTTTGGTCTGGTGACAGGAATATCGACAGCGTTGGGAGCATTAAAGATAACTGTCACGAGTCCAGCTTCGGCAGCTGCATGGCTGGTCAAGCTACTCACTGAAACGGGGACTTTGAGAAGAGCTGGCGAAAAGATGAGCTGAGCTTTAGTAGAGCAAGCCACACAGGGGATGGTGCTTCACATCCATCGACGGTGGCACCGAGTTAGGCCTCGGGGAACGCACCAGCACCCCCCCCCCCCCCCCCCCCCCCCCCCCGCTCTCATGACATTTTACGGTGACAGGAGGTTTGCAGATAAGGTACACTAGTTAATACCATAGCAGAGACAAAGTGTGGGGCTACTATTGTGGAAGGAGTTGGGAAGCTGACCTCGAATCGAAGATGAGTGCCCTGCCCACTCGGGACCCACTATTTTTGAGGTTGCCCTCGGCGCGCCCCTTCCCTCCTCGCCCCTGGCAGGGTCCCAAATCCCCGACCTGCTTGCCGTCCTGCCGATGCTTCACGAGCGTCACCTCCCCGTAACTGCCCCTGCCCACGACCCGCACGTAGCAGTAGGTAGCCTGGGGCATGTTCCCGGAGGGGGCCCACAGTCGGGAAGCTACGGCAGCTGCGCGAAAGGCAGCGGGAGGCCCCGCTCATGCCCGACAGGAGGTGAAGTCCTCCATAAACGCGGCCCAGTCGGGCCAGGAGCTTTGAGGCCCGGCCCACCCGGACGCCGCTACCATAGCAATATAGGCGGTGTAGTCCTGCGCATGCTCAGAATTGGAAGCCCCACCATAGAGCCGACATAGCAGCAGCTAGAGCGACTCCAAAAGCCTCGGGAGGACCTACCATTGAGTCGTCACTGGGGCGGCCAGAGCGGTTCCACAACCGCGGAGGACTTGCCATAGAGCTTCGCTACTGGGAAGCCAGAGCGACTCGAGAGTCTCAGTTCCTGCTTTTGTGATTCGGCCTCTGTTCAATGAGTCCTTACTGGTTATAAGAACCGAGTATGATTCATTCGTTCTACAAAAATTAACTGTCTGTGCACTTGGCTCACATTCTATTGAAAGACTGGCCGACTCTAGACTTCCCTAATGATGTTCGCTGTATTTTTTTTCTTGCATGACATTATTTCGCCTGTCCTTTTGATGCATTGAGAAATACACAAGACATTAGTACTTGTCATCCCTAAAAGTTTCAGCCTGCTTTATTGAGAATTGCAAAGATCTCGCACAGAATGATTGCAAAACCACCATCCTGAGAGACTTAACAGAGCTTCATGCTGCTTCCAAGACCCCCTTTTAACACCTGTCTGAGAAAGTACAAGGCTGCTGAGAAAAAGAGTCTATTATCGGACACCTACCTGCTTTGCCCAAAGAATTTGCTTTTAAAAGGCGAAGAATTACTGATTATTCCTCTGTCCCGTTGGGATATATATGCACGAATCTTCTACAAGCCAGGAATGTTTATCTCCAGGAGAGAAAGTCCTTCTTTTGAAATGCAATCATCAGAAACTTTAGGCATCTGTTTCCCAGTTTGTGTGGAAAAATAGAGTCCCATCTTCTAGCAGATACAGCTGGCTTAATTGCTTTTACATCGACCAACTGTTATTGTTATTATTAGTTACTGTTGCTGAGATAAGATCTGCCAATGTAACTAACCTTGCAATCCTACTCTTTGGTGTTGAGTTTGCAGGCATGTAACAGCATCATGCTCCTAAACCATTGGAATTTTCAGTTTTCTAAGAAGCCCCTTTGCTTACTTCTCTATCTCCCCCTCATTATCCATTTTGTTGTTGTTGTTGTTGGTGGTGGTGGTGTGTGTGTGTATGTTTTAGACAAGGTCTCACTATGTAACCGAGGTTACCCTCGAACTCACAGAGATGGGCCTGGCTTTGCCTCCTGAGTGCGGAATTAAAGGTGTGTGCCACGACGCCCAGCCTTCATTCTCCTCTGAAAAGGCCCAGTCACCTCTGCACAATTGAAATGAAGCTCAGCTTGTCCTGTGACTGTCAATAGTTACTAATACAAATCTGCCTCCTCCACTGTGACTAATGTTTATCTTTAGCAATATCATTAACTAGAATTCAATATTTATTTGTGGTTTGCTTTGTTTGTTTTTCTTATTGAGAGGAAATTGGCATTGCCAAAGAAATATGCCAATCTTAAATATGTAACTAGATCATTTGGCAAGTATAATCACTCAAATATATTAAGACCAAGGGATATGGAGAAATTAGAACCCTATGCGTTACTGATGAGAATAGAAAATGGCTCAGCTTGTATGGAAATTGGTATCATGGCTCCTCAAAAAATTACACACGTAATCCAGCCATTTTATCTCTGGATACAGAGAGAGAGAGAGAATAAACAAATAAGTAAATGGTAAAAATGAGAAATATTGGCCAATGACATGGCCCAGCTGGGAAAGGCTGATATTCATCCTGAAGACAAGTTCCACCTTCAGGACCCTTATGGTAGAAGAAGAGAATTAACTCACACAAATTGTCCTCTGACCTACCTACCTACACACACACACACACACACACACACACACACACACAAATGCACATAAACGCACACACACACAGTGGCACAAGCACACACACATTAAATAAAAAATAAATGTAGCTGGGTATAGTGGCACAGTGTGTAATCTCAGCATTCAGGAGGCAGAGGAATTTCCAGTTCAAATCCTGTTTGAACTATATTAAGAGACTAGAAAAAAAAGGTTAAAAAAAACATAAAGGTAAACCTTATGTTTGCATATTTTTTTAAAGATTTATTTATTTATTATGTATACAGTATTCTGCCTGCATGTATCCCTGCAAGCCAGAAGAGGGCGCCAGATCTCATTACAGATGGTTGTAAACCATCCTGTGGTTGCTGGGAATTGAACTCAGGACCTCTGGAAGAACAGCCAGTGCTCTTAACTGTTGAGCCATCTCTCCAGCCCCCATGTTTGCATATTTTACCACAATAAAAAAATAGCTACTTTTAAGTGTTTTTTACTTATTTATTTTTGTTGGGTTTTTTGTTGTTGTTTGTTTTTGAGATAGAGTCTCAGTATCTCCTGGGTGGCCTGGGCCTCACAATGTAGACCAGGCTGGCCTTGAACTCACAGAGATCTGCGTGCCTCTGTATCATAAGTGATGAGGTTAAAGGTGTACACCATCACACCTGGCCAGTTTTTTAGGACATTAAGTAAGATATAGAGCAGTGTTGCCAACCTGCCTTTCACTGTCGCCTTAAGGAGACCTTTTAAACAGCTTTTAATGTTGTTATCAACAAGTGTGTGTGTGTATGTGTGTGTGTGTGTGTGTGTGTGTGTGTGTGTGTGTGTGTGTGTGTGTGTGTGTATGCACATGCTTTTATTGTTATCATCATTTGTGTGTGAGTGTGCATGTGGAGGCCAGGAATCAAACTCATTATTTTAACAAGGTTTCTTACAGAGCTCAGAGCTCACCACTTTGGCTAGACTGGGTGGTCAGTGCGCTCTGGGGACCTGCCTATCTCCATACCCCCAGCACTAGGGTTACATACATATGCTACCATGCAAGGCTTTTACGCAGGTTCTGAGGAGCAAATTCAGGTACTCAAATCTGCAGGAACTTTACCAACTGAGCTATGTCCCTAGGCTCTAGACAGCTTTTTCTTCCAGTGACCCTTTAGTACCGAAGACACACTGTGTATCTGTTTACATATTGTGACTCTTGGGTAGGCTACAGACCATTATAGTAATCTATATTTTGGTAGGGGGATGATGTTTTGTTTTGTTTCTCTCCAAGACTCAATATTTGCTCCATCCAAGACACATCTACTTTACTTCACCCTAAAAAGACATCTTTTTTCTTTCTTTTTCTTTTTGGGTTTTTGAGACAGGGTTTCTCAGTGTAACAGTCTTGGCTGTCCTGGAACTCACTCTGTAAACCAAGCTGACCTCAAACTCAGAGATCCACCTCCTTCTGCCTCCAAGCGCTGAGATTAAAGGCATGCATCACCATGCCTGGCTCCAAAAGGACATCTTTACCCTTCTGGGGAATCTTTTCCTTTCTTGGTTTCTAGAACTTTACTGGTTCTCCTACTGTCCCTGTCCACACTAGTTCCTCTCTTGACTTCTCCTGCTTCCTTTGAAGTCTCCCAGGCTTCTCTGCTGTGTGTATTGCTTCTTTAAAACCGAAAGGCAGGCAGACAGACAGACAGGTAATTACCTATATACTATGTGGATCGGGAATAGGTGTCTATGGAATAAGTCTGTCTTAGTTAGGATTTCTATTGCTGTGAAAAAACCACCATGACCATGGCAACTCTTATAAAGGAAAACATTTAATTGAGGTGGTGGCTTACAGTTTCAGAGATTTAGCCCATTATCATTATGGCAGGGAACATGTAAGCATGTAGGCAGAGATGGTGCTGGAGAAGGAGCTGCTACATGCTGATATGCAGGCAACAGGAAGTGTACTGAGACACTGGGCAGCATGTTGAACACATGAGACCTCAAAGCCCACCTCCACAGTGATGCACTTCCTCCGTCAAGACCACATCTACTCCAACAAAAGCGCACCTCCTAACAGCGCCACTCCCTTTGGGGGCCATTTTCTTTCAAACCACCACAAAGTCTTACACTGCCAGCCCCATGAGGACCATGAATTAGATGAGATAGAAGTGAGCAGGGACCAGACCACATGGGACCTAGGATGGAAAGGCTTGGAACACAGTGACTTTTTGTTTTTAATCTCTTCACATCTTTGTTTTGCTTTTGTTTTTAGCATTACTGGAGAGATCCAGACAAGCAGCTCCACCACTGAGCTGCATCCTAAGCTCTATTCCTTACTTCTCTCTCTCTCTCTTTTTTTTTTGTTTTGATTTTTGGTTTTTTGTTTGTTTGTTTGTTTGTTTGTTTGTTTTGGTTTGGTTTTTCAAGACAGGGTTTCTCTGTGTAGTTTTGGTGCCTGTCTTGGATCTCACTCTGTAGACCAGGCTGGCCTCGAACTCACAGAGACCCACCTGCCTCTGCCTCCCGAGTGCTGGGATTAAAGGTGTGCGCCACCACTGCTCGGCCCTTGTTTTTCTCTTTGCTGTCACTAAATATCTGACAAGAATCAACTTAAGGGGAGAAGGATTGCTTTGGGCTCACAGCTGGAGGTTTCAATCCATGCTGCAGAAGGCACAGCATCAGGAGTGTAGGACAGCCATCCACCCAGCAACCTCACCGGCTTCCTGACTATCTGCCCTTCCCCTAGCCATGGGCTGGGCCAGTTACCCTCTTCATCCTAAACGTGGGGAGAGTAACAATACCTAATTCTTGGGGGTAGTTGGCAACAGTGAAGAAATGGGACATAAAAGACGCTGAAAAGTGTGCTAGGCGGGGACTCATCACTGTTAGCTCTTCTCATCCTTTTCTGTCACCTGCCACCACTGTAGCCAAATAAGCATGTTCCTAGTTCCTTCTACGAGCCAGATTTGGCATTAGCCATATCTCAAAAGCCATGTTTGTTTGTTTGTTTTGTTAGTTTTTTTGTTTTATCTGATTGTATTTCTTGTCTTCCCAAGCTTCCCTGGAACTCTCGATTCAAATGATCCTCCTGCCTCAGTAGCTTGTGCTCCAGGAACATAACACAGTGCCTAGCTCTCAATATCTTAGTCTTAGACACTTCAGTGTTTTCCACCCTGAAAGCTAAAGGTTTTCACGTACTTTGTCCTAGTTAGCTTGAACTGTCGATTTGACCCAGCCTAGAGTCACCTGAGAGAGGAGTCTCAGTTGAG